TTGGAAGCAAGGAAAAATTGCAGACTCCTGGAACTAGCTCTGAAAACAGCAGCATGAAAAAAGCCTGATGCTTGGGACAGTGCCTCCCCACTTCTAGGTGAGTAGCGGAGTCCCGTTTTAGCATAAAGTTCAAAGTCAAGAAATAGGCTGGGAAAATGAGCGAACAACAATAACAACAACAACAACTTGACCATAAAAGGCTACTACCTTGGCAGAAAAGACCAAGACATGAACTTAGAAGACGAACAATATGAAAAGAGCTACAAAGTCTCAAAGAAAAATGCTTTTTTGGTCTCGAGCCCAACAAGAATTCCTGGAAGAGTTAAAGAGACAAGAGTGGTAGAGGAAAAAATGGGGAAAGAAATGAGAATGATGCAATGTTAAAAAAGCTAAAAGGTTGGAATGTGATATCCCAGAAGGCTAAGGAGCTAGGATTACAATTAAGAATAACCTACCTAGCAAAACTGAATATAGTTCTTGAGGGGGAAAAATGCTCATTTAATGAAATAGAGAACTTTTAAGTATTCCTGATAAAATGATGAGAGCTGAATTTTTCATTGAAACACAAAATTCAAGGGAAGCATAAAAAAGTAAATGTGTAAGAGAAATATAAGGGATTTGATAAGCTTAAACTGTTTACATTCCTACATTGGGAAGCTGATACTTGTAACTCCCAAGAACTTTATCTAATTATCAGGGCAAGTAGAATGCCTCTACTTAGATAAAGGGCGTGGGTGTGAGTCAAGTATGAAGGCATGAAAAAGAAGGATGCATTGGGAGAAGGGGGAAGGTAGAGGTGGAATGGGGAAAATTTTCTCACATAAAAGGTACGCAAGGAGGTGCTTTTGCAGTGGAGGGGGAAATGGAGTGGTGGGCAAAGCTTGAACCTCATTCTTATAGTAATTGGTTCAAAGAGAGAATATATATATACATACTCAGTTGGGCATAGAAATCTGACTCAAAAGGGAAATAAGAGGGGAAGGAGATAAGTAATATGAGGGGGTATAGTAAAAGGGAGGACTGATTAAGGGAGACAAGTCAGAAGCAAAACAGACTTTTGGGAAGGGACAAGATAATGAGAGAGAAGTGTAAATAGAAGAAAATGGGATTTAGGGCAGTGCACAGTTAGTAAGCTTTACTGTGAATGGGATGAGATTACTCATAAAATTGAAATGGATAGCAAAATGGATTAGAAACTAGAATCTAATAATATCTTGTTTACAAGAGACAAAGGAAATAGAAACACACAGAGTGAGAATAAGGGGCTGGAGCAGAATCTGTTATGCTTCAGCTGAAGAAAAAAGCAGGGGTAGCAAACCTGAGTGACCTCAGACAAAGCAAAAGCAAAAAATAGACCTAATTAAAAGAGATAATCAGAGACACTACATTTTGCTAAGAGATACCATAGACAATGAAGTAGTGTCAAAATTTTTTACACCCAAATTCTCTTCCAAATAACTTTAAAATAATACCTCAAATAGGATTCTGGGAATGGCAGAACTGACTAAAGAGTGGGGGTGAGACAGTTAGGTCAGTAGGAAAGATCTGTCTCACTGGGTTGAGAATGGATGGCAGTCTAAGGCAGGCCAACCCGGCATAGGCCACATAACCAGGCCTGAGGGAGGGGGTGGCTGAATCTGTGTATTCAGATTCTGGAGCTCTTAGCCCAAAGACAGTAAAGTGGATGGACAACTGGTCAGAAGAGATTACAGGGGACCATTTACTGGCCCTGGGTGCAGGACTCTGTTGCATTGCCCAAACACACAGTTCTAGGTGACAGTACCAGAGAAATGAGAAGCACTAGCAGGAACAGGAGCCCTGGTCACAGTTCCAGGGTGAAAAAGAGTGCTTGTGGTCATACATGGACCAGAGCATAGGCCAGTGGAGCAGCGATCACACTTCTCTTTAGATCGTACCACCTTGGGAGAACTGAAAACTGACCCCCCCCCTTCCCCCAACATTGAGCTAACTCTGAAAACAGCAACACGAAAACCTGAAGTTTTTGGACAGTGCCTGGCTCAACCCTATGAGCAAAGCCCAACTTTAACATAAAGTTAGAAGAAAAAAAAATGAGCAAGCAATAAAAAAAAAAAGAACCTGACCATAGAAAGTTACTGTGGTGAGAGGGAAACTGAAAGCACAAAGTGAGAAGACAACAAAGTCAAATCAAAGAAAAATGTGAATTGGTCTCAGGACCAGCAAAGAAGTCCTGAAAGAACTCAAAAGGGATTTTAAAAATCAAGAGAGCTGGAGGAAAATTGAAAAGAAAACAGTGATGTAAGAAAATAATGAAAAAAAATAGTCAAAAATTTGGTAAAGGAGGCACAAAAAATACTGAAGAAAATAATACCTTAAAAAATAGAATAGACTTTGGTAAAAGAGGCACAAAAATCCATTGAAGAGAATTCCTTAAACTGCAGAATTGACCAAATGGAAAAGGAGGTACAAAAGCTCACTGAAGAACATAATTCCATGAAACAGCAATAAATAATCAAAATCAAGAGAATAAAAAAAATAGAAGAAAATGTGAAATATCTCATTGGAAAAAACAACTGACCTGGAAAATGGATTGAGGGGAGATAATTTAAGAATTATTGTACTACCTTAAAGCCATGATCAAAAAGAAATTATTTCTGTTTATTAATTAATTAATTAATCATGTCCATAAGCTTTTCAGTTTTAAATTTTTCCCCCCTCCCTCCTTATCTTTCTCCCCAAGATGACATGCAATCTGATATAGGCTTTACATATACATTCCTATTAAATATATTTTCACATTAGTCATGTTGTAAAGAAGAATTAGAACCAATAGGAGGAACCACAAGAAAGAAGAAACAAAACATAACAGAAGGAAAAAAAGGAGCAAATACTATGCTTCCATCTGCATTCAAACTCCATAGTCTTTCTCTGGATATGGATAGCATTTTCCATCACGAGACTTTTGGAGCTGTCTTAGATCCTTGCATTGCCAAGAAGAGATCAGACTATCAAAGTCAGTCATCAGCATAATGTGGCTGTTACTGTGTACAGTGGAGGGAAAGATGAGGGTTAGTGGGCAATGCTTGAACCTTACTCTCATTAGAATTGGCTCAAAGCAGGAATAAAATACATACTGAGCTGGGTATATAAATCTATCTTACCTTACAGGAAAGTAAGAGGAAAGGGGGCAAAATCAGGGCTGATAGAAGAGTGGGCAATTTTGAGTTGAGAGAGAGAGAGAGAGAGAGAGAGAGAGAGAGAGAGAGAGAGAGAGAGAGAGAGAGAGAGAGAGAGAAGCAGGGAAAAATAGAATGGAAGGAAATACATAATAATCATAACAGTGAACGTGAATGGGATGAACTCATAAAACAGAAGTGGATATGACAGTGGATTAAAAACCAGAATTCTATAATATGTTGTTTGCAATAAACACACTTGAATTAGAGAATAAAGGTAAAGGTATGGAGCATGATCTATTATATTTCATCAGAAGAAAAAATGGGATAGCAATCATGACGTCAGACAAAGCAAAAGCAGAAATAGGTCTAATTAAAAGAGATAAGTAGAGAAACTACATTTTACTAAAAGCAACAATAAACAATTAAGTAAAATCAATACTGAAGATATATGGAACAAATGGTATAGCTTACAAAATTCTTTTCTAGTTTTTTTTTAGCAGAATTTGAGAACCACTTTTACATTTAGCTACAATTTCTGTCTTTCAACTGCTTTAATTAGCATCTAAGTGGCTTAGTGAATAGAATTCTGGGCCTGGAGTCATATGAATTCAAATCTAACCTCAATAGCATGTATCTTCCAAGGTTGTTGTGAGGATCAAATGAGATTACATATATATATATATATATGTGTGTATATATATATATATATATGTATATGTGTGTATATATATGTATATGTGTGTGTATATATATATGTATACGTGTATATATATATATGTATATGTGTGTATATATATATGTATATGTGTGTGTATATATATATGTATACGTGTATATATATATATGCACGCGTGCACTTGGGATTAAATGACTTGCCCAGGGTCACAGAGCTAGTAAATGTCAAGCATTTGGTCTGAGGCCAGATTTGAACTCAGGCCCTCCTGACTTCAGGGCCAGTGCTCTATCCACTGTGCCACCTAGCTGCCCCTTGAGATAATATTTTTAGAGTGCCTAGAACAGTACCTGACACATAAAGACACATAATATTAATGTGTATTTCCTTCCTTCTTTCCCTTTCTTCTCTCCCTCCTTTCTTATGAGAATTTAAAAGTACTTAATTTCTCCAGTAACATGTCCTCTTACTGGTCATTGGACAAAGATTTCACATCTAAAGTACTAACATTGATATTTAAGTTTATAGAATTCAAAAACTATGTAATTCCTAGGAGTTTTTGTCCCCTTTTTATCACTGCCATGACAGAAGCAATTTGAGATGTGTATAGTTGAGGGCCATCTTGTATTGTATGTTGTTTCATGGGTTCCTTGGCCAAAGAATTAGTACTCAAGTGTCTACTGATCCTAAGCCTTTCCATACTTATTATCTAGGCTTGTCCTCAGAAAGGAGACTCAATTTTCTCTTACTATTTTACTCAATAGCCATGATTTTATTGATGTGGTTATCTCCTTTAGTGATACAGATTGCATCCCTTCTCAAGTTGCTGTGGATTAAAAAATCATTACCTGTTGGACAAACTTTGGTTTGCTATAATTTATACTCATAAATTTATACACTTATAAATTTATAGAATTTATGCTTTTCTGGAATAGGCTTTTATCCTATGATGATACACTGAAGTAGAACTTTACATGAATCCATACACACAATGCATTTAAACTGTAACAGCTACACATTTGTCTTATCCCTTAGCTCAATTGTAAACTTTTTAATCTTTTAAAATATAAAACTTGCCAAGAGTAGGTACATATCTGATGGATTTTTTCAGCCAATTCAATTAGATGATGATGATGCTAAAAACCTAAATTATTTATTTTTTCTTTTAGGCTAAAGATCTAATCATTACACCAGCCACCATTTTAAAAGAAAAACCAGACCCAAATAATCTTGTATTTGGAACTGTTTTCACCGATCACATGTTGACAGTGGAATGGTCTTTGAATTTTGGATGGGAAAAGCCTCATATTAAGCCTCTTGAGAACCTGTCATTACATCCTGGCTCATCAGCCCTTCACTATGCAGTGGAAGTAAGTAATATATTCCTTTATGACATGTATATTTAGCTTTATTTTCTATGCATTGCATGCTTATCCTAAAATAGCTTTTATGCAGTAGGCTTTTTTTTCTTCTCATTTTTATTTTGTGATGTTCACTGGGGAAATTTCTTAGTCATTTTTTTTTTTACAGACAGATTAAGGGAGGTCATTACATATTCTTTAGATAATTGTATTGTTTATAAAGGAGTACTGAAAGAATAATTGAAAGCAAACAGTAAGGTAATTTCATAGAGAAATGTACCTAACCCAAAGTGACTAATTAACATTTTACATGTCATTTAGCCTTTCCATCTGTGACTACTGTGGAAAAATCAGAGTCAAATAGTATGGCTGGATTTCAAAGTGAGCTGGATACTTTTATGACTAGTAATAACATTTATATTTATGAATGTTAAAAGAAGCATTTAATGTCTTTCTTCAGGCATAAGTTTAAGTCTATAAACATAAGGGTTTGAGAAAGTAATTTTTCTCCTTCCTATCTCATTATGGCACAGCTGTGTGTGTGTGTGTGTGTGCATGTGCATGTGTGTACGTGTGTGTGAGTGTATTATGTTTTCACACATTATCTCCTCTGAAATAATGAATATAATGGGAATGGCTAAGAAATTTTTGCCCAAATGTTTGGGGAGGAAGTGAAAAAAGAAATTAGTACAAGACATCTTAGTTTCAGCCTATTGAGAAATAAAATATTCTCCACTTCTTTTTTTGACTTTTAATAGGAATCTCAAACTGGAGACTAGGACCCTTCCCACAAGCAGTTGTAGTTGAATTGAGGTGTCCATTCAGAGACTCAGTTGCCCAGCTGTATATGATCCACCTTCACTGCTGGCAATCTTGAATGGCTGCCTAATGTATCAACATAATAATAGTCTAATCATATGGGAAGTTGAGGAGGCCAGTGACGGTGGATGGAAAAAGGGAAACAGGTTGATTCTCATCTCTGGGACTTTGCAGAGGCTACCTCTGTGCCTAGAATACACTCCTCTTCTACCTTCCCCTAGTTTCTTCCAAAACAGCTCAAATATCTCTTGCATGAGGCCTTTTCAGTTTCCCACAGCTGCTAGTGCCTCATTCTCTGAATTACCTTGTATTTATTTTCCATATAATTTGTTCCATATAATTTGTCTTACCTTTACATGTATATGTTGGTCTTTCTGATAGAATGTATACTCCTTGACAGTAGGTGATGGCTGTATGGTAGGTCACAAGCAGATTATCCCTCAGGTTATGAATTTCCTACTTAGGCAGACCATTCATATTCCTTTGGGCGGGGTATGTATGTGCATGGAGTGTGTATGCATACATGGACATATGTCCATATTCTCAAAATGGTATTATTTATCCAATTCTTCTGGAAGGTATAAATGAACCTGTCCTCCACTCATAAATCTTTGAGTCTTCTCCGGTTATGAAAGTCTACCTTCTTTGTGAACTAATTCTTCATATACCTCTCTACCTCCTTTCCTCTGTCTCCTATATCCTGAGTTCAAATCTGACCTTAGATACCTACTAGCTATGTGACCCTGGACAAGTCACTTCATCTTTATCTGTTTCAGTTTCCTCAATTATAAAATGGGCATAATAACAGTACTACCTCCCAGGTTTGCTGTGAGACTCAAATGAAATAATTGTGAATTGTTTAGCACAGTATCTGAGACAGAGTAGGCACTTAATGAATGCTATTTTCTTCCTTCTCTGTGTCTCATTTACCATCCTAAATATTTGGAGAACAGGTTTTCTAGCCCAATTCTCAATAACTGGACGCAAGGAAAGTGACTTATACACCAAGTGGCTTTACGCTCTTCTCTAAAAGAGACCACTAGTATACAGACATGAAGTCTAGAGTTTTAAGTTACCCCAAGCACATAGGCTTTACCATTCATGTGCCTCCCTGCTAGGTCTCTATAAGCATGTTACCACTCTCCCCAAAGGATACTGGGCATATTGGTGGGAGCACGTGACCTAGGTTTTTAAGTCGATTGCTGAACTTTCAGTATTTTTGCTTTTGCCTTCTGTTGAACTAATATTCTGTTATGATCATTATCGCATTTACCTTCTCATTTAGTAAGTGTTTTATCCTTAAGACCTGTCCTTGTCTGTTCTCCATGGCTAGAATTCTATCCTACATTATCTTTATCCCTGATTTCCTCTAAGTCTCAGCTAAAATCTTACCTTTTGCAAGAATTCTTTCTGTATCCTCCTTAGTGCTAATGCCTTCCTCTGAAATTATATCCGATATATTCTATATACATACATATCTATATATCTATATCTATATCTATATCTATATCTATATCTATATCTATATCTATATCTATATCTATATCTATATCTATATCTATATCTATATCTATATCTATATCTATATCTATATCTATATCTATATATCTTGTTCGTACATAGCTGTTTGTGTGTTGTTTCTCCCGTTAGTCTATGATCTTTTTAAGAGCAGAGATTGTTTTTGCCCTTTTTTGTATTCCTAATACTTAGCACAGTGCCTGTCATACAGGAGGTGCTTAATAGATTCTTATTGATTAATTATTCCTTCTTTATTATTAAATATTACCTCTTTCTCTACTATTATTTGGCATAGTATTAGAAATGCCATCTATAGCAATATACATAGAGAAATAAATTTAAAAGTAAGCTTTGAAGAAGAGTAGGAAAAATTATGCCAATTTTCAGAATATGGTTTACTTAAAAAAATCCCAGAGGAAAAAAAAAACTAGTTGAAATGATTCATAGTTTTAGTAACATAGCAGGAAACAAATCTCCAATTATCACCAACATATTTGCCCAGTACTGACAAATACGAGAAGGAAATGCTAGAAAGAGAAATTCTATTCCAGATATTCCTAGGGCCCTTACAATATAGGTCTCCAAAAGCTGCATGCAGTTTCAAGTCTTTCTTTGGGTCAAAACCTTTGCCTTTGTGTTCTCTTAAAGACCAAATTGGAACACACATAAATAATAAAATAGACTACATAGGGGGAAAAAACCCCAACTCTTTTCCTTCTACATGTGCAAATGGACTTTATCAAAGATTCCTAGGATTCCAGTTGCAAAGAGAATGTTTGTTACGTGGATATTTCACATATACCAATGGCTGTTTCAGAGTTGGAACATTTCTTTGCCTCCTAAGTTGGTGCATATAGCTTTCTGTAGAACTGCTAATATTGTCCTATGAGATGCTTGCTTTGATGAGCTTCCATTCGCAATTAGTTATCACTGTCATTTGCTGCTTCTCTATTGAATTGCAGCTGGTAGGGAGTCTTTCTTCTTTAACAAGAGAATTCATAACTCTTTTGTGAATCAGACCCACAGCAATCTCTAGTCATCACAGCAAGAGTCCTTTAGTACAAGTCTGTCTTTTAAATATATATATATATATATATATATATATATATAAATTATAAAGCATCACTTAAATGTAAGCTATATTTATTTCCAGAGGAAAAAAATAAAGCCTTGTGATCTTACAACACATTCCCCCTCTCTATTTCAAATTACATTACCCAAGGTAAAAAAGGCAGGCAATCAAAAGGAAATACTTAATCTTAGTTTGAGAGCATTCTGCCTACCTAGCTTTTGTTTCCCAAACCCCAAGTTGAAAGTGTTGGCTCATAGTTGGCGAGATATTTTGATCACTACACCCCAGCAAGCTGGTTAGTAGGTAGCTCTGAAGAGATGAAGTCCAGAAGCTCATAAAGAGAAGCTATAAGCCAGTTGAAATGCCCAGTATCCACCAGTAGATCAATGCACAGAAGAGAGGATGAATCCAATGGATATTAAGGACACAGTGCCCAGGAAAAACCCTTAAGAGTAGTGCTAGTATATTACTGAAGACATCACCAACTCTGTAGCAATCATATATGATTTGTCCCAGTAGTCCATATTCTTTGTCCACATATGTCCTTTTTGTGTGTGTTCTCCATGTTTGTCCTGGCCAAATATGTTCCTGGCATGAGCCTTTTTATGTGGGTTTCTTGGCCGCGTGTGCTTCTTAAGTGTGCGTCCTCAATATTTCTTGGTTTACTGTTTTCTCTTGGTAACCTCCCCTGCTGGGGTGTGACCAGTAAGGGAGTGTATCCCATGTTCACAAAGCAGTCTTCTTGTCACCTCTTTTGTTATGCTGTTTGATTAAATGTCTTTTGCTGGAACTGATGTATCCTTTGGTTGACTGGTAAACACATTCATGAGGGTCACATTCTATCACAAAAGATAGTGTGTGTGTGTGTGTGTGTGTGCGTGTGTGCGTGCACATGTGTGTATTGTCTGTCTCTGTTAGAGTGTTAGGTAAATGGTTATTTGAAGATCTCATATATCATCACTGAGTGGCTCAGTTTGAGTAAAAGAAGCATACTGGTATAGACTTGAGGCACAGTGTTAAGTAGAGAAATTAGGAGAGAGTAAAATCCAAGCATGTGGGCCAGCCAGTGCAGAGGCACAGAGGTGGGAGACTTAGTGGTGTATATGAGGAATGGCATAGAGCAGAGAGCTCAGGGCTAAATGAAAGGCTTGAATGTCATTTTGGCCAACAGTTTTAGCCTATTCTTCCTCATCAGAACTATTAATAAATATCCATATTATCAACTTCCATCACGTTCTTACCTTCATTAAGCCCACTTGTGGATGATGTTAGCATGACATAGTGGACAGAGCCCTGGACCTGGTGTCAGGGTAACTTGAATCACATCCTTCTTCAAACCCTTTATCTGTGACACTGGACAGGTTACTGAAACTCTCTGGACCTCAGTTCCCTTATTTGTGAAGTGAGAAATTTGATCCCTTTAAATGGTCCTTTCTGTTCCTTGAGGATAGGGACCTGGTTTTGTCTGTCTTTTTACCACCTAGCATTGTGGTCTGGCATGTAGCAGGCACTTAATGCATCGTAATTGTTGTATTGTATCTATGAATCTGTAGTATGAAAGCATCATTAGACAGGAAGGAAGAACGTAGAACTAAGGTAAGTGACACACTGGCTGCTTAGCTCCTTGAATTTGATGGGAATAGTAGTGACTTTTTTCCCTGTGCCAAAGTTTTTTGCTAACACTATGCTTAAACAGAACACTGCTGGTGCAGTGGAGCCTGGAGTGGTGACCTGGCCTAGAGTCAGGAAGACCAGAGTTTCATATCTAGCCTCATTTAGCTGTGTGACCCTAGGCAAATTACTTAACTCTGTTTGCCTCTGTTCCTCATCTGCACAATGAGCTGGAGAAGGAAAAGGCAAACCTACCCTAGTATCTTGGACAAGAAAACTCCAGGCCAAAAGAAAGAATAGAATAAATGGGAGGGCAGGATAGAATTAAGGGAAATAGAGTTAGTTTTTCACAAGATGTCTACTATGGACGTGTTTTGCATAACTGCACATGTACAACCTATATTGAATTGCTTGCCTTTTCAATGAGGGTGAGTGGGGAGGGAGGAAGAGAGAAAATTTAAAACCTAAAGTTTTAAAAACACGTTTAAAAAAATGTTTTCACATGCTACTGGGAAATAAGAAATACAGGAAATGGGGTACAGCAGTCTATCCTGCCCTACAGGAAAATAGAAGGGGAAGGGGATAAGAGAAGGGGAGAGAGATAGAAGAGAGGACAGACTAGGGGAAGGGATATTCAGAAAGCATGCCATCTTGGGGTGGGGGAGGGGAGAGATGGGGTGAAAATTTGGAACTCAAAAACTTGTGGAAGTGAATGTTGAAAACTAAAAATAAATAAATTTATATTAAAAAAAAAGAAAAAAAAAGAAAACTCCAGGGGCAGCTAGGTGGCACAGTGGATAGAGCACTGGCCCTGGATTCAGGAGGACCTGAATTCAAATTTGGCCTCAGACACATAACACTCAGTAGCTGTGTGACCCTGGGCAAGTCACTCACCCCCATTGCCTAGCCCCCCCCAAAAAAAACTCCAAATGGGGTCATGAAGAGTAGGACATGATTAAAATGACTGAACACCAATATACTTAGATATAATTGTTCTCTTGTTAAGACAAAGGCAACTCTAAATACATAAGGAAAGATGAAACCTGAAGAAGTCAGTTCTTTCATATAAGGGGCTCTTTTTACTAATTTTCATTGGTAATAGATTTTCTATTGTCTTTAAACTTCAGTTATTTGAAGGAATGAAGGCATATCGAGGAGTAGATAAAAAAATCCGTCTGTTTCGACCAAACCTCAACATGGACAGGATGCTTCGATCTGCAGCAAGGATAACTTTGCCTGTACGTAAGTCAAGCAGTTTATGTTCCTTTTTATTTGGAGAGTTCTCAGTACACTATTTGAAATAAATTTCTATGAATTTGGATGAAATGGGTCATTTTAAGGAACTAGCAAAATGAATTGTGTTTCTAAATAGTCTGGATGTTGTTTCTTGCCTGCTTTTTTCTCAAAAAGTGACTACTGAAAACCTTCAGGAAGTGAATTTATTTCATTTGGTAAGTGCATAATAAGAGTCAGTATTGCTTAGTGGATAGTGAACTAACCTTATAAGGAGGAAGACGTGGGTTCAAGTCAGGACCTTTTGTGATTCTAGGCAAATCTAAGTCACTTAATCTCTTAATGCCTTGGGCATCTTTCTACTTCTTTAATAGTTAAAATTCTCATTTTTCTTAATTATAAAACAGTTTGTAAGAGTTTTAATGTTTCTTATAGTTTTTGAAAGAAAAGGGGGCTCAGTGGATAGAGCACTAGCGCTTGATTCAGGAGGACCTGAGCTCAAATCTGGCCTTAGACACATAACACTAACTAGCTGTGTGACCCTGGGCAAGTCACTTAACTCCATTGCTTAGTCCCCCCCCCCCTGCAAATCAAAAGAACAAGACGCCTACACCGTCTAAAGTATTACACAGACATGCCAGAAGAATTTGGCAGGCAGACATTAATTTTAGTGTAGAATGATAATGAAAAGAAGAGGATTGGGAGAAATAAAAGGATACTCAATATATAAGTATCCTCTGGGTTCCCTAAGATACATTGGAGTCCAGACAGCTTGCTAAGAATTGAAGTTTCAGAGCAGGTCGTTTTTTTTTTTTTAAATTTCATTAATTTATTTTGATTTATCAACAATCACTTCCATATGCTTTTGAGTTTAAAGTTTTTCTCCCCCTTCTCCCCACCACCCTCCTCAAGATGGTGGACAATCTGATATAGGCTATACATTTACATTCCTATTAAACATATTTTCACATGAGTGAAGTTGTAAGTAAAAATTAAAACCAATAGGAGGAACCATCAGAAAGAGGAAACAAAACTCAACAGAAGAGAAAAAATAATAATAATGATTCAACTTCCATAGTTCTTTCTTTGGATGTGGATGGCATTTTCCATCATGAGGCCTCTGGAGATGTCTTAGATCCTTGTAATGCTGAGAAGGGTTAAGTTTATCAATATTAGTCATCACACAATGTGGCTGTTATTGTGTACAAAGTTCTCTTGGTTCTGCTCACTTCACTCAGCATCAGACCATACAAGTCTTTCCAGGTTTTTCTGAAGTCAGCCTGTTCATCATTTCTTATAGCACAATAGTATTCCATTACATTCATATACCACAACTTGCTCAGCCATTCCCCAATTGATGGGCATCCTCTCAATTTCCAATTCTTTGCCACCACAAAAAGAGCTGCTATGAATATTTTTGTACATGTGGGTCCTTTTCCCATTTGTATGATCTCTTTGGGATATAGCCCTAGAAGTGCTATTGCTGGATCAAAGGGTATGCACATTTTTATAGCCCTTTGGGCATAGTTCCAAATTGTTCTCCAAAATGGTTGGATCATTTCACAACTCCACCAACAATGCATTAGTGTTCCAATTTTCCCACATCTTCTCCAACATTTATCATTTTCCTGTTTTGCCATGTTGGCCAATCTGATAGGTGTGATGTGGGTACCTCAGAGCTTTTTTGATTTGCATTTCTCTAATCAATAATGATTTAGAGCATTTTTTCATATGACTATAGATGGTTTTAATTTCTTTGTCTGAGAACTGCCTGTTCATATCCTTTGACCGTTTATCAATTGGGGAATGGCTTGTATTCTTATAAATTTGTCTTAATTCTCTATATATTTTAGAAATGAGGCCCTTATCAGAGAGACTGGTTGTAAAAATTCTTTCCCAATTTTCTACCTTCCTTCTAATCTTAGTTGCATTGGCTTTGTTTGTGCAAAAATTTTTTCAATTTAATGTAATCAAAATTATCCGTTTTGCTTTTTGTAATGTTCTCTATCTCCTGTTTGGTCATGAATTCTTCTGTTCTCCATAGATCTGATAGGTAAACTATTCCTTGTTCTCCCAGTTTGCTTATAGTATCAACCTTTATATCTAAGCCATGAACCCATCTTGAGTTTATTTTGGTATGTGGTAAGAGATTTGGATCTATGCCTAGTTTCTGCCATACTCTTTTCTCCAGTTTTCTCAGAAGTTTTTTCTTTTTTTTTCTTTTTTTTTGGTTTTGTTTTTTGGTTTTAGGCAATTGGGGTTAAGTGACTTGCCCAGGGTCACACAGCTAGTAAGTGTCAAGTGTTTGGTTTGAGGCCCGATTTGAACCCAGGTCCTCCTGACTTCAGGGCCAGCACTCTATCCACTACGCCACCTAGCTGCCCCTCTCAGCAGTTTTTTTCAAAGAGTGGGTTCTTATCCCAGAAGCTGGGGTCTTTGGGTTTATCAAATAATAGATTACTATAGTCATTGACTACTATGTCTTGCATATTTAACCCATTCCACTGATCCACCACTCTATTTCTTAGCCAGTACTCAGAGGAGGTAATTAACTTGCACTGGGGGAGGGAGTTTCCTCTTTTGGCCATTCCCTACACCAATTAAATCATGGATATTGTCCCTTTTCCTCAGTGATTAGTATTTGTGTTGGTATATGAGTGGGTTCATGAAAGTGAATAAGGAGAGAGAGCCAGACCAACAGTCAAAAAGTGAGAGTTCAGTTCCTGGCTCAGCCACTGAAGAGTTATGTCAGATCTTGGATAAGTCACTTAGCCTTATATACATAATTTTACCAATATATAAAATAAAGATATTTAATCAGGTAACTTGTAGGCTTCCTTCAAACTCAACATGCTACATCCATGCATAAGAAAAAAGCTAGTTTAAATCTAAAAGAAGTACTTCTATGGTATTGAAAAGAAAAAAATGATGCTCAGAAAATGTAATTGCTTTTTCAGGAAATTGATTGCTGTTCATACTAATAAACATGTTAGAAATCTTAAATTATTTTTAAACTTTTCCCAAACCTATGTGGACTGAAACATTTTAAAATGAACTGACATATATTGGAACTGGAGCCATTCTTTACTAGTAGGCTGAATTAATTATAAGATGTCTTGAACATATCTCAGGCAGTAGTCTTCGTTAATGGATTTCCACCTCTTATTGAGAAATTAGAAGATCCCTTTGCTACAAACTGTGGGAAATGAACTCATCCTATAATTAAGAACTCCTTAGATTTATCAGTAAGTTCTATCCATAATCCTAATTAACTTAGCTCAGTATATTTCCTGAGAAAACCAAAATGTAGTTGGACCCAAAGAAGAAAACTTCATTTAGCAGCTTCTGGTCTTTGCCTTCAGGGCTGCATATGGGAGCGCTAGGTAGTATCATGAAATTGGAAAGTAAACTTATATGAGGTCTCCGACATCATATGCTATTTTATGTATATCATCTTTATGTTTATTCTGTATACATAGATATGCAACTTGTTGACCATTAAAATCTAAGCTCCATGAGAGTAGGGATTATTTCACTTTTTGTTTCAAATTTCCAGCATGTATCATAATGCCTGGCATATAGGAGAACCCTAATAAAGAAATCATTCTTAGAAGCAGCTAGGTGGCATAGTGGATAGAGCACTGGCTCTCAAGTCAGGAGGACCTGAGTTCAAATCTGGCCTTAGGCACATGATATTTACTAGCTGTGTGATGCCGATTGCCTCACAAAAAAAAAAAGAAGAAGAAAGAAATACTTCTTGGTTAATTGATATCTTTGTATTTTATTTTATTTTTATTTTTTTGGTGAGGCAATTGGGGTTAAGTGACTTTCCCAGAGTCACACAGCCAGTGAGGGTTATGTGTTTGAGGCCTGATTTGAACTCAGATCCTCCTGACTCCAAGGTCTGTGCTCTATCCACTTCACCACTAGCTGCCCCTTGATATCTTTGCAAACACTATGTTTCTACGTGTCGTGTAATTCTACTCATTTTAGTTAAGCAGGCACTTATTAAAGGCCCAGTGTGATCCTGTCCTTTTAACCTCTCAGCACTCAGGCTACTCTCTGAGCTCTAAATATTGCAGAGCAGTTGCCAGTATGAATTGGTGGAGAGATTTTCAGAAAGGAGAATTACATTAATAAAATCAGCCAAAAAAAAAGTACCAGGCATTTTGTACAGCAAAGACAAAAATGAAGCAGTCCCTGCCCTCCACGTATTGGCATTCTGCTGTAAGGAAACAACACATACACCGTGTTGTCTACATTAACAGGAAAAGAGGAAGGGAAGAGAATACATCCTACCAAGAAGAGCAAGACTCTGTAAAATAGTTTAAGATCCATGGAAAGGATAGTTTGGTTTATTTGGGAAAATAGTTGAAGATTTGTGGAAAATATATTATACCAGTAAAAAGTTATGATGATATTTCTGGAAGAAGCCAGGATACAAGTGTACTGAGAGGTTGAGGGATGCCAGCAACAGATACAAGAGAACAGAGGGTGGACCCCTAAATTGCTAATGTTCTTGCTGATTTGTATCTTCCAACATAGTAGGCTAAGGCGAGGATTACAAATTACTATAAAAAAGATAATGCTGTAAAAAAGAGAGTCTTCTTAGATTGAAGTCATTGAATCAGAGTTGATATATTACAAACCAAGATATTAGTAATCTGTTTAATATACCCTAAAGCCCCAAATTAGATTAGTTTAACAATGTTAAGCAAATGCATTTATTCATTAATTTATAATCAATAAAATAACTTCTGTTTAAACTGAATGATTCAATTTATTTCATATTCTAATGGGATGAATTTTCTGATAAGTGTATCTTTTTGGCAGGATGACAGCTTTCAGGAAGGCACAAAAGGGCTTACTTAGGTCAATAAATGATTATTCTTTATGCCAGAGTTATTAATAGTCCCCTACTAAATTAATATACTATTTTCTATTTCATGTTTCTGAGTTGCCCCTCAAATTTAGGCTATAATTAAGACAGATTATGAGGAGTAAAATCATGATATGTTCTTCTAATTTGGGACTTAAAGGGTTAGGAATCATGAAAGTGAAGGAAATGTTTGCTATTTTTTTTTCCTGGAAGAAATTCTTACAGGTCTTGTGATGGTACTAGTCAAATCCTAACAAGTCTTATGTCTTATGAGGGTACTAGTTTTGTTTCTCCTTATCTGCCTTTAAAATCTGGCATTCCAAACTGGAGGCAGAGAGCTATATTCCAAGTCTCTGCCTTAATTCTTTACTGTGGTATGGGCATCATAACATCCAAGTTTAGAGCATAAATTATTACCCTACTGTGCAGGACCTATCTTTAGCATGTGCTAGTTCTTGCTTTTTTGTTTTAAATGCCTTAAAACTCCATTTTGTGGAATATTCATCATCTTTCTTAGGCTTATTCACCTCACAGAGATAATTAGTCTCTTAAAGCTTGACTTAGAAAAGCTTCAGTCCTTCCACAGAAGTGAAATCATGCTGCCACAAGGCAGCTGTCATCTGGGAACCTGAAGGGTATTAGCATACATCTGAGCTGACTCGGGGATTCTATTCTAGGCCATGTTGATTGCACTAAAGATTACTGTGGGGAATTGGAAAGAGACAGTTCTTGGTGCATTTTAAGGCCAAAAGTACAGAACATGAAAAATTTGTTTAAGGTTTAGAGCTTTTACAGTTCTGTTCTCTTTCATTTAGGAGCCAGTTCATGCTAAGGCAGGACTGCCTAACTTTCTTTTTTTAGTATTTTGATAACTTCATATCAATATAATTGGTGTCTTTTGTAATTTTGTCTTATTTTATTTTATTATATACCTTTAAAAACATTATTTTGAGAAGGAATCCATAGGCTTCACCAGATACCCAAGAGGTCCACAACATACAAAAAAGTGAATAACTCCTGAGAATGATGATTGATTAGAAGTTTGAAGTCCTTGAATGTGAATCCCAGCTCTTTCCCATACTAGCCACATTACTATGAGTAAGATACCTCTTTAAGCCTCTGTTCCACAGTTGTAAAACAGGAATAATAATAATTTTTATTACCTATTTTGCAGTTGTCTCAAAGTTTTTTTTAGAGTGCTGTATATGTCTAAACTATTATTTCATTATTTCCTGGAATCAGGAGTGTGGCTCCCACAGTCTAGATAATTTTTTCCCAAACCTATTAGTACTAATCACTCCCCCCAGTTATTTTGTGTTTATTTTTTATATATTTTTGTATATGTATACATATTGTTTTCTCCTAGTTGAATGTAAACTCCTTATTGGCAGAGACTGTTCTTTGTTATTGTTATTTTGTCTTTTATACCCATTATTTAGCTCAATGCCTAGTACATACAAGGGCTTAATAAACCATTGCTGAATTGAATGCACATGAGAAAATTCTGATCTTTTTTCTGTGACCTTATTTGGTTCCTTATCCTTTTAGGAGTTTGACAAGAAAGAACTCTTAAAGTGCATACAAGAACTTGTGAGATTGGATCAGGAATGGGTTCCATACTCAACATCAGCCAGCCTCTATGTTCGCCCTACCTTTATTGGAACTGAGGTATGCCATGACTGTTTGCAGTGTATTTTGTCTGTGTATATTAATTTCATTTTTCCCCCTCTATCAAACTTTTGTCTCTTGATCCAGTTCATAATCTGAAATATATAACCACCTCAGTATACTGTCGATAGATATTTGTTTTTATATTCTATAGCAATAGATTTGAAATTATTTCTGCTATGTGTATGTACCTTTGTGGTCTTTGCTGTTCAGGTACTTCCTGAAAGGCTCTGTAAATGTGTGTAATTGGGGACCGTTTCAGCTCACCAGAGTGGGGAAGACAGTTAAGTTTTTAAGTCTGATGGAGAAGGAGACACTACACACCCCTGGCCGACTGCAGCATAGTTGGAAGAAACAGTAGTGACCTGTGAGTGAAGGCTGCAAGACCTACCGGTACCAGTTTCTTTGCCTGAAACCTCTGCAGTAAGAGGTACCAACTAAAGGAATCTGAAAGAAATGGAGCCTTGTGTGTCAGGGAGCAAGTTGTACAGAGTTTGGAAAGTGTGTTACTGCTTGGTCCTTCTCCAGTGAGGTAGCTGGTATCAGCAATGGAGTAAAACTGAGAGGGTTGGTGAAGATGACTTTAAAGATTGCTTCCAGTTTTAGATTTGATTAGTGCATCATCCACACTTTAGGCAGTTGAAAGACCTAGAACTGGGCCAATTCGAGAAGTTTGTTGGAACTATTTACTAAATTTGTAGAATAATACCACAGGTATTTAGACAGCTCTGTTGTAAAAGTAACCCATCCACCTCCCCCACCTCACAATATAACAGCCCTGCATAGCACTTGCTAGAAGCTCTGTCTTTCATCTCATCCTGGTATTAGTGGTAAGAAACTGAAAATTAGCCATATGATTATGATTCATTTCATGCTTTTGTGTTTACAATCTAATTTGGTTTAGAGGAGACTACTTAAAAACTTGATTAATATATTTGGGAATCTCAGAAGATCAGATCTTTGCTGTTAATAATATTGAGTGAAAATGATAGAACTATCAACAGCTAAAATCAGGTGTATTTGAGTATCAGTCCATGTGTTTGCCCCAAGCTTTCCTGCTGTTACTCTAGTTCTCCCCAAACTTACATGTCAAATAAAATATATTTCAAGCTTGTCAGGTGCTTTGGAAATTAATGATCTGCTGTTAGTGCAGAATCTTTGTCTTACTTTTCAGAAGTCACATAAATCAGGTAGGATTGAAGGAAATTTAATTGTGTAACAATGCCAGTAAGAAGGCAAGGGAGAAGAAAACTTTTTTAATAAAAATGGAAAATGGACCCATGGCAGTGGTACCACATTGCTTGTGTTGAAGTACGAGACTGGACAGCCTGTTACCAAGTTGATTTAAACATGGTGACAACAAAGATACTTATCTGTCTACACACCTTCCTAATCTTCTACATGCAGCAGTGATGAAACATACCTTTTCATCTGTCTCTCAAAGAAGAAACTCTTGTATTCTTCCCTTTCCTTCAGTTAAGTATCCCAGCACTTAGTAATCTATCAGTCTTGTTTTTATTTTCTTAATCTGTAAAGTGGTGATAATAAGTCACTTTACCTCTGTTTGCTTCAGTTTGCTCTATTGTAAAATGGAGATAGATACTAGCAGCTGCTTCGAAGGAGCAAATGAAATAGTGATTGTAAAGTGCCTGGTACATAGTAAGCATTACAGCAGTGTTAGTTATCAATATTGTTATTATTATTTATAAAATAAGGATAATAATATTTGTATTACCTGCTTCATTTCTAAGCCTTAGAATACTATATAATAATAATAATTGTTTTTGTCATTGCTGCTCCTTCTGCTGTTGCTTGGTTTTCAGAATTGGTATAGACTTATTCACTCAAATAGTCCTTTCCATGCTCTCCCTACTACCATCTAGTGGACATCATTCTTGTTTAGATATGGATTTAAGGTATGCAAGCATTTGTAATTGGGAAATGTTTAACAAAATAAATAAAAATACAATATAAAATAAATGTTAATTAGTGGTTTTCTAAGTCAATATGGAGCCCGTAGGGATCTATTTCCATTTCAGCATTAAAGGAGATGATATTTAAGGTCCTTTTGGCTCTAAATCCTATGATTTATATAATAACAATGTTGTGGTGAGACACAATGATGTCATTCCCACTATTGCCATAGAAAATGTTCTCTACCTTTATTGGTAGGAGAGATAGTTGCTTCAAGTTCAACTAATTAAGAAAACTTAATGTATATAAGGAAGATAATAATTATTAGGAATGGAATTTATCTTAGAAAATGTTCCGAAGTACTAGTAATTGCTTTTTATTTTTATTTTATTTTGTTATTTTATTTTTTCAGATATTCTATTACATGTTATATGTAATTTGTATTATATGTAATATGTGATATGTATTATGTGTAATTATCCCTTACATAAATATTTTGTTAAAACAATAATATAGAGAAAAGTAGACACATGTATTTATATCTAATATCAATAAAACACATTCATTAAATCAGTTATTCATATCACAATTTGTAAATTGAGTCTTACAAAGTCTCTGAGCTAGAAGAGTTCTTATCAGGGATGGGGAACCTGTGGCCTTGAGGCCATATAACCTCGAGGCTGCAGGTTCCTCATCCCTGGACCATCTAGTTCAAACAGTGCCCCCCCATCCCAATTTTACAGATATAGAATGAGATAAGACCCAGAGAAAATAATAATAGCCAGCATTTGCAGAGCACTTTACAAACATTATCTCATTTTGTCCTTACAACAATCCTGAGAATTCAGTGTTATTAGAAGTCTCATTTTACAGATTAGAAAATTGAGGCAAAGGTTGAGTGACTTGCCCAGGATCACACAAATGGTAAATGTCTGAGGTCACATTTGAAACCAGATCTTCCTGACTCCAGGCCCAGTGCTCTATCTGCTATGCCGCCTTGCTACGCAGCCAGAGAGGTTAAGTCACTTGCTCCTGGTGATGCAGAAAGTAAGTGGCAAAGCTGAGATTTGAACCTAGATTCAAATCATCCACAGGGAATTTAGGAAATAAATGCAAAGTCCTTCTTTAATTCCTCATATCCCAGAACTTCTAAGTTCTCTGTAAATCTTTGAGTAAAGTAAATAAATACTTTGTTTCTAGTTTAACGGACAGCTTGATGAAATCCCATTGAGCTTACACTTAATGTAACAGGTGATTTTTATTAACACTGTGAATAAAATTAAAGACATGACTTCTTGGAGTTGGCCATCTATTTTCACTGTGGCCAGACACACCCCATTTTGTATGTGTCTTCAGGTTGTTTCATTATATTATGACATTCGATTAGGACCATACTGAAGTTAATTTTCCATTTGTTCTAAATTTTTGTTTGTCCTTTAGAATGATGATGTCTAGGTCCATCTAAAATACACATGTACATGCACCCAATTCTTCATTATCTGTGGTAATGGGGACAACAGGGAAAACATGGATAATTGAAATGCACAGAAAGTCCTCAATCATGTTTTTTTGGGGTCAATTTCACTTAGCATTTTAACTAGAAGACAAGTTAGATTGGTTGTTGGTTCTCATCTCTTTTTACTTTATCAACTTGCTTTTTATTATAGCTCCACGTGGCATGAAGCAGGTCTGGTATAGATCAATCATAGAAGTCAATTCAGGTTAAATGGAACAAGAGTTTGTTTCATCACTATGGTGCGGGGTGTGGAGGAGTGGTACTCAATCTTGTGTGTATGTGTTTTGTATTTTTATATTTGTTTTTTCATCCAAGTTCACAGGCCCCAATATTTGTCCACAGGTTCATGAACTCCAGTTAATGAGCCTCTACTCTTAGCCTCGGGACCTTTTTTTTTTTAATGTAACCTTTATATAGTAACTTCAAATCTTTCCCCTACAATGTATACCACCCCAATTTCCCTTTTAATTATGCCTGCTTTTCTTCCCCAGGAAGCAGCCTGCCTTGAATTAATATTTTTAAAAAACTATTTATTTTGGAGATTTTTGCATATTTTGTGTTTATTTTGCAATTGGTTCACAGAATTGATGGGAAAAGGCCTTTAATATCTTTTTACATGGAATAGTAAATTGATTAATGTGTCACTTACTTGTCTCTGTGCCTTCCTTTGAAGAGACTTTTGACTATTTTGCCTAGTACTTAAATTCTAGTGGAATATACTCACTCTGATGTCTGGGAATCTGTGGTAGTTGCATAGCAGTGTGTTAAGTGTTTATTGCCTCACATCTGCTAGAGATATGAATGTGAACCTATAGTAGCCCTAAGTAGAAGTAAACAGTATATTCTGCCCTAAGTAATCAAAATTTGTCTCTATTTTCCCACCTCACACCTTCAAACTTTAACAGATAGGTAACAGGTAAGTTATCAAACTATTTCCTTTTCCTCATTAACCACTTCTGAATCTTACAAACGGAAAAACTTTCATGTCTGTTTAAAATCTTTCTGTCAAATCTTTCTTTGTTGATAAGATTAACTATTCTGTGTGCAAACCAACATTCCATAATGATAATAATCCTGTTGATGGATAGCCAATTTTCAGAGTACAATTGAAAATTTTGATTCTTAATCTTGAAATGAAGTCCAGCTAAATCCCTGCATTTTGTATTTTTTCTTTATCAAAGCCTTCCCTTGGAGTAAAGAAGCCAACAAAAGCCCTACTTTTTGTAATTCTGAGTCCTGTGGGACCTTACTTTTCAAGTGGAAGCTTTAAACCTGTATCTCTGTGGGCTGATCCGAAGTACATAAGAGCCTGGAAGGGTGGAACGGGGGACTACAAAGTAGGAGGGTAAGAGGAAATTCAGATTACTTCATGATATGAAAGAATCTTTCCTAGTTATTTATTTACTCTTATTTGACTCCAGTAAGCATGCTTATCTACTTTCTCTAGTTTTTGGTGTTTTAAATTGACTAGGATGCTTAAGTGACAAATTATGCAAGTTGTTGGTATGGGAGGACAATTGTAAATGATATACACCAGAACTTTTTTGAATAACTAAAATTAGAGATTGAATTAGCTGCTGCCATATGTCTGTTCTATTTTGCCATAGCAATTAGATGGGTTGAGAGGAGAGACCATCTGGTGTTTGGGGCTGAAGCTCCAAGCTGGCCCTAGTATTTTAGGAGTCATGTCTGGGGAAGGTGCCTGCTGCATTGACATGCTGTCTTCATTGTCACTGAATATAATCATACCTACTGCCAACTGGCTGAAGGATAGCCCTACTTTGGCTCAGCCAGACTTCGCTGAGAATTCAATTCAGCAAGCATTAATTACCTACTGTGTGCCAGACAGGAAGGGCAGCATGCCATAGTACATACAGGGCTAGCTTCAGGGAGAGCTGGGTTCAAGTGCTGCCACTGACACATACAAGCTATGTGATGCTGAACAAGTCTCTTAACCTCTCAGCATTCCTGGCCACTCTTCAAGACTACTAAATTGCAGAGCAGTTCTGATACCAATTAAATCCCAGGTCTGATTAAAAAAAAAGTACTATATTTGTCCTGGGATGCTGGAGATATAAGGGCAAAAAAGAAAGTCTCTTCCACCAAGGTGTTTACATTCCACTGGAGGATACAAGATGTGCACAGACAAGTAAATACAAAATAATTTGAAGAGGGAGAGATAGCCATGTAGCTGGCTATAGGAAGATTTGAAAAATGTTCCACAATATCAGGGGTATACTTGGCCTTGAGTTAGAAAGTCTATGACTTGGGATCTAGGGAGTTGCCTGTCAGATAGGCTTTAAATGACTTTTCTAATAAGCATTAGAAGAGGAATTTGAATTCAGGACTTTCTGACCCCAAGCTCAGCACTCTATCCACTGTTCCCCGGCTGCTTCATAGGGAACTTAGCTAGATCTAATTTATTGTTAAAATAAAGAATAAAGAAGGCATAAGCCAGCCTGTTCATAGCCACCTGGGATCCTATTAGTCCTGGGCCGTGCCACAGAGCCTGTAAAATACTACGAATAATGATAGCCAAATATTCATATAGTACTTTAAAGTTTGCAAAGAACTTTATATAATATTTATTTTGTATTTACTTGTCTGTGCACATCTTGTATCCTCCAGAGGAATGTAAACACCTTGGTAGAAGAGACTGGAATGCTTAAAGCAATAGTGAATGGAAGCAACTGCTATAAGTCCTTAGTGAACAACTTTACTATGGCATACATTACAGACAGTACATTCACAATTTTGTTGCATTAATAATGCCAATTTTAAAGGAGACTTTAACTTTCATTTTTCCTCTATTTATTCATTCTTTTCTAACCCAAAGATAAACACATGACTATTTCCATATTTACCTTTTCCCCCCTTTTAAAGTTAACTTTGCAGACTGTCTGGAAAGTACAATAAAATTTTTATCTGGGGGTGGTCAGATTATCTAAGAGTTAAAACAACAATGGAATACCATACCCCAGGGCAATTAGAAAGCAGCTCTAATGAGGTTTGGAAAAGTTCCATGATCAGTATGAAAAGCCAGAATAGTCTCCCTTGTCACTTAACTAGGGAAGGAAAAAGCAGAACCCATAACCTCCTCAAGTATGTTACCAGGAACGCAAAAATTGAAAGAAAAGAGAGACTTTTTCTTTTAATGGCAATTGTATTCATGAGAACTTTTACCTGTATTGTCTTCTATCTGCACTAAGTTCCTTCCTGTCATTAGCACATAGGAACAAGACAAATTTCTCAAGTTGAAGTTAGGCTTTTAGATTTTCCAAAGGAAAAACTAATTGGGCAAAAGAAAAAGCAGGCTGTCTCCATGTGTGTCAGGACCTTTCTGGGAGGTGATTCCTCCACATCAGAGGCCATTTATTGCTTGTGTATTATTCTTTAAGAAAACCCAAGAATGAAAGTCAAAGCAACATGAAGGTAAATTTTGGGTTGGTTATTCATTTAACAGAAAGATTCTTAATAGTACTCAGTATAAAGTTCTAATAAATAATAATTTTCCAAAAAAAATCTGAAATTTGAATTGATTTACATATTCTAAATGAAGTGCTTTATTGACACAAGGTCTGTTTAACTGTAACAAGAGTGTTTTTCTTTTCTTTTCTTTTTGTTTCTTTTCTTTTCTTTTTTTTGCCTAGGCAATGGGGTTAAGTGACTTGCCCAGGGTCACACAGCTAGTAAGTGTGATGTGTCTGAGGCCGGATTTGAACTCAGGTCCTCTGAATCCAGGGCCACTGCTCTATCCACTGCACCACCTAGCTGCCCCTTTTTCTTTCTTTCTTTCTTTCTTTCTTTCTTTCTTTCTTTCTTTCTTTCTTTCTTTCTTTCTTTCTTTCTTTCTTTCTTTCTTTCTTTCTTTCTTTCTTTCTTTCTATCAAAGAGGAGGAAAGAAGGAAGGGGACAGAGATCAGATTTTTGTTCAAGATTAATTTAACATAAAGTGGAGAGCAAACTTGCTACTTGAATAGAAACTTCCCTCTCCCCCCTTAGAGTGACTTATACAGATGCCTAGCCTTATTTAGTAACCCTTTATGCCCTACCACCAATTTAATCTTGATGAAGAAGTGGTACTATATTGTTACGCTTTGGGAACATTTTAAACTTGGGTAAAGCCCGCAAGTCTTTCCGTGATAATGTTGTTTTGATGTGCAGACTATGGAGTCAAGTCCTCTGTAATAGGGTCTAACAGAGCCTATCAAGCTGGACAGACTCCAAGTGCAGGACAACAGATGCTTGTATACATGCAGTCTGAGGACCAGCCTAGCTTAGTTCAGAGAATATCATCAGGTGGACTGCAGGATGATCAATTGTTCCACTAGTAGAAGTTAAGAAGGCTGTCTACTAAGGCTTGGAGGGCTTGGAAGTGTGATCCGCTTTGACCCAAGTCACGAATCCTTGAAATATCAAACCTTTGTGCAGTATGAAAGACTGAATCAGATAGATTACCAATTTGGGTGTCTGTGGTCTCAGGGAAATCACAGGGCAAGTCTAACCGGTGTCCTGCAGTATCCAAAGAGTCTCTGCCAAGGTTCAAGTCCAGGTGGTTATTAGCCCTGTCACTGGCAAGAGGAAACCCATTTTTTTCTCTTTGAACCTCTGGCTACTGAAGTTTAAAACTTGTACTGCCTACCTCACAGAGTGGTGGTGATGAAAGTTTTTTGTAAAGCAGAAAGAATACAAATGTGAACTTTTTTTAAAAAAAAATTATTTGAAATTCCATTTATTTATGTTTTGAATTCTGATTTGTCTGTTTCCCAACCCAATCATGCCCAGGCTCACACACCTAGTGTCAAGTGTCTGAGGTTGGATTTGAACTCAGGTCCTCCTGACTCCAAGGCCAGAGCTCTAACCGCTCTAACCACTGTGCCACCTAGCTGCCCCTTTCCATGTCTTTCTAATACCAACCTGTGACTCTTACAACTGACTCTCAGTTTTTTTGGTGGTAGGCTATCCAGTTCCTTCCTTTCCCTAGTTCTGCATGGAATTCATTTGCAATTGCTCTACTCAGGCAGCTTTTCAATTAGCTTTTTGAACTGTTAGATCTCCTTTCTCTCCCAAAGTGACATGTTATTCTCAGGGACATAGGAAACACATGAAAGGGATCAAAAGTGTATTAATGACTCTATGAACAACAAGAGCATAGTTAACATCTGAGAGGGAACTTGAGCATAATAAAGAGCTGAGTTAAGGCAATGAGCCCACCAGGAAATGAATCTAGGGGTCCAATAATAAATACAATAAAACACCTTTCTATACATATATATTGAAGAAGGTGAAGACTCTGAGTTTCTTTAATTGCAGAGGGGGTTTCCTGACATCAAGAGAGCTTTGTCTTTAATATACCCTATAGAGTACCTCACAACATTCTATAAATGTTAAAGAATCTTTTCCTGTGCAGTGGGGATTATGCAGTGAATCATCTTTCCAGTGATTTTCAATGTATCAAAGGTTACATGAGAAATTATCTTTCTTTTTAAATAAATTAGAGTGATATTCACTTTTGTCTATCCCTAAAGTCTGATTTCAGGGTATTTATTTAAAGAAATGCAAGCTTAAAAGGGAACAGTCTAATATTATCTAGTACAGGTATTTTATGTAAGTTACTAAAAAAGCATAAAAACAAATTATGCAATACTTTTAAATACCATATGTACACTTTAAAGGAAACTTTGTGTAGCCACTCAGTACTTTTCAAATTGAATCAAAGGTGGGTATGTTGATCACTTGGAAGATTTTGTTTTTGCCTATTTACTCCTCTGGACTCTGCACGTACTAAGAAAAGATGTAGCATTTCTTAGTCCTAATATAATTTAGAGTGGACTTGGTGCTCAGAATAATGACTTTGTACATCTTGTGCTAAACCATATTGATGCAGAGCCTTTGAACTTTAAAAAAAATATGCTCCAAGGTTCCCCTCCCAGGGTGCCGGCATTAATTTCACATTTATTCTGCTTCTGTCTGCTGTGTGATTATGGGTAAGTCACTTAAGTTCTCTTAGCCTCAGTTTCCTCATCTGTAAAAATAGGGACAATAATAGCACTTAACTCATCCTGTTGTTTCAGGGCTCAAATGAAATAATGGATGCAAAACACTTTGCAAAAATTGAGACTCCATATAAGTGTCAATGGTGATGAGGATAAGGATGATGATGGTGCTGCTTTCCCTGCATGCCAGCACTCCTAAACTCTGGACTTCCCTGGTTCTAGTTTATTGTAAAATGGATGCCTTGTCAGACAGCCAGCTATTCAAATCTGTTTGCTTGTATAGGTATCTCATAAAGTTTTGAAAAATTTTATTGACATTTATTTTTCTGTCCTGGGGGTGGGGAAGAAAAGGGAGGAAGATTGGAAAAGATCCTCATAGTATTTAGCAGAATATCTTGGTAAAGGTGGTTTAATCTAATAACTGAATAGATAACATGAAAAACATGTGGGAAAATTTGAGCTTCGGTAATATGATGAATATGTTTACCATAAATAACAGAAATTATGGATTTTTTAGAGGGAAAGAAAATCATTACCTCTAATTGATGTTTTGCCTCCTCAATTAGCAATTATGGTGCCTCCATTTTTGCCCAAAATGAAGCATTGCATTATGGATGTCAGCAGGTTCTTTGGCTCTGTGGAGAAGATCATCAGATAACTGAAGTGGGAACCATGAACCTTTTCTTATACTGGATAAATGAAGATGGAGGTAATAACATTTAACTTAATAGACAACTCTTTTCTGTTCTTAGATCATGGCTGTGGGAAGCTCTCATGAGTTTAGTAAAGGGCTTAGCTACTGATTAATACTGTTGAGTATTACTGTGAATCTCTTCTAGAGAAGTTCACAATAACACCTCTCAGTATGCCCAATAACCATTTTATGGTCACCATGAAAGTTTCCAGCTAGCCCCTTTACTAGCCCATACCATCCCAAAGAAACTAACTTGGTTAATTTTCAGGGGAAGAAAAGATTTTTGCTCTTTTAATTTGGTGCCTATATCAGGACCACTCACTGTATCACTTAGAATGAACTCAGCCCTCCTGAGTTCAGCGAATTTTAAAAATGAAGGCAGTTTCTCTTACCCATTTAAATTCCTTCATTTGATAGCAGATGTTTCTCCACATGAAGAATCCGAACTAGGGAAGTTCCACACAAATTTATCCTGCCACAGAACCTTTATAGCTCTGTAAGTAGGTGCAAATACTGTTCCATCTGGGGAGTTTTTCATCTTTCTCATGTTATCAGAATTTTATTGATTTATACAAAGTTGTATGTTTATTGTGGGCTCCAAAGCTAAATGTTCTGAAAACCCTTATTTGGATATGGCAGCCTCTACCCACCCCCCCTGCCAAAATAATAGCTAATTTGATTTTAGATTATATTAATCAAGGTGTGATATTTAGCACCAGGAAGGTGATGGTCCCCAGCAAGCTCCTTGAGGAAGAGACTATTTTTGTTGTTATTGTTTTGTATTTATAGTCATAGTGGCCATGCACACGGAAGCTATTTAATAAATGTTTGTTGATTGATTAATGTTGCTATGGTACAGTTCTGGGTGATATATTGATAAGCTGGAGAGTATCCAGAGGAGGGGAATGAAGATGGTGAAGTGCTTTGATTCCATGCCAAAAAATGATGAAATTGGGAGAGTTTAGCTTGGGGGAGAGGAGACAAGACTCAGTCGAACATGAAAGCTTCAAGTATTTAAAGGGTTGCCAAGTGAAAAAGGCATAAGACTTGTTTTGCTTGACCCTAGAGGGCAAAATGAATGGGAGTTAAGAAATAAAATTGTGTTTGTAACACACCTAAGTAACAATGAAGGTGTCTTAAAACAGAGCCTTGATAGACACCTTTAGAGTGTGTTATAGAGGGGATTCTTGGCAACAATCAAGGACAGATTGGAATAGGTGGTTGCTAGCACCCCTTCCAACTCTGAGATTCTGTGATTAGGATGAGACACATAGGATCACAAGTCCTTTAAGTGTTAGAACGGTGTTTGCAGTAGGGAAGAAAATTAGTAAGCAAACCAGCATCACCCAGCAGCCTAAAAGCAATCATTCAATGAACTAATGAACCTTCCAGGTGCCCTTTCTTTTGTTTGAAGATGCACATAGGGCCATGGGATCTCTCAGCAAACTTTTGTTGTTAAATGGAGACAGATTAATCAATTGTGAAAAAAAAATATAAGGAAGTGAATTATCAGTTCCTGTGGGAGGGGGAAGATGCAATATTTGTAAAGGTAGGTAGGACTGATGCAAACTTTATGAATACTTTAAAATTTTGGTGAATTTAGTGATTTTGAACTGACAGTAAATTTCTGTTTCTCAATATGAATGTGACCATAGGTACTTGAAGGCTGTACTAGAGTAGCCCAAGATTTCAGAGAGTCCAGATGGAAAGCCTTCAAGCATGGGTCCAGTTATGGAAAATCATGAGAAGACCAGCCTAGCCACACTCAGAGGGTCATCAGCAGAATGTTGGTTTTTAGGCAGTAGATATTTTTAGTCACCGCAATTTCCAAATCAATCTACTAGTAAATGGGAGCCAGTGAAAGAAGTATATTTAATTTCTTATAAATTTAACAATCACCAATAAACATGTAAATTTCAGTATGTTAAGAAGACCAAAAAAAAAAAGAGGATTGCTTATGGAACCATGAACTTATTTTATTTTTTAGGTATATAATAAACTTAACATAGTAGTAACAAAATTAGAATGTTTGTATTCTCTTTTGATATTCCTTTTGTTTTTCCTGAATGTTTTCTTAATGTTTATTGATTTATTGCTGCTTCTTCCTGCTTCCCTCTCTCCTCTTCCTCCCTTCTTCCCTTCCTATCCTTCTTCCTTTCTTCCTTCCCTCCCTCCCTCTTTGTCACTACCCATTGACTCTCAGTGTAGGAAATATTCACACTAATGAAATAACAGACATTTTGAAGTATCGATTTTGAAAACTATTTTTCAATTCTGTTTTAAGCTCCTAGCCTGTTTGTTTCATGATAGTGAGCAATGGAATTATGAAAGGAGAAATCTTACTTTAAGAAATACTTAGCCATTTAAAGACCTAGTTTTGGTTTCAACATTAAATCTGAAATGTTTTCTTTGTTGGAATAGGCAGATGTGCCACCTCTAATTATTCCTGTGTCATTTGGCTACAGAAAGATGATTCCTATAAATTTGAATCAGTACTAGGACTTATTTTTAGTAATTTTTACCAGCACTGGTAAAGTCAGTCTTGGCAAGGAAGACATTGAAAACATCACTCAGGGATTTTTGGTGTGGTTAGTCTCAGACACATTGAATTACAGAATCTGAGTTGGAAGTGGACTCATACTGAACTTACAGTCCACCCAAACTTTCAAATGCTTTTCAGAGCACAACTGAGTGATTTTTTGGGGGGCATACCTCTCAAAGGAAGCTAGGTGGCACAGTTGATAGAGTGCTGTACTTGTAAACAGTAGGAGCTGAGCTCAGGGATGTTCTTAACTGTTTGGGTAAGTTACAACCTCTTTCAACCTCCATTTCTTCATTTGCAAAAATGAGGATAATATGCAAGGTTGTGAGAATCAAATGAGATTTTATATATGTATGCATGTATAACATTTACATTTATGTATTTGTAGAATGTGTATTAGAGAAACACATGTATGTGTATATATATACAGACACATGTATGTATGTATATGTGTATATCTTACTGTTGTTTCGCATAGTGGCAGAACCAAAGTACAGATCTACCAGCAGTGCTTTAATGTGTGTTCTCCCCCATAGGCTCCAATTGTTGTCCATGCCTGTCTGATACAAGAATTACATAACAAGTTGAAGTATCTTGTGTTCCTTTATCCATACTCACCTGCCTCTTGTAAAGATAAGAAAATCACTAGGGTTGAGGGTATAGTATTTAGGGTGCGCTCAGTATTGTTCATCAAGATTACTTGTATACTTTCTAAGTGCTAGATTGTAATTGTATCTATTTTATTTGTTTGTTTGTTTGACACCCCCCACCCCCAGACATGTTGACTTACAGAAGAACTTGGGTCTGCCACAGGAACTTTTGGGGTCCTGTTCTAGTAAAATCATTTGGTTCTAAGTCCTTAGAACACAGAGACAATCAATTTGGTTCTCTTATATATCCCTGGTGAACTATTTGGCACTTACTTACTTTAAAAAATTATGATCATTATAATTCTCTCAACTATAGCAATGTCTCTTCTGGTAAAGACTAGGTCTTCTGTTGTTGTACTGCTTCTAGATAATCCAGTTCCTAAACATGATTTTTCTGTCAAAAGCGAGCCGAATTTGTGGGCTTACATTCTGCTTTCCTTGTGTTGGATGATCTGAGGCCATATGGAGCTTGTTCTGGCTCCAGTAAACATGTTTGTGGTTGCAGAGGAAAATGAATATTTCTCACCCAAATGTTTTCATGTCGTCATCTCTGTCTGGCACCCAGGGGAGCAGATGTTCTGTACGTTGACCCCAGGCTAATGGGTAGGATGATGTGCAAAAGATGTATTTTATAAAGCAGACAGTTAATACACTTCATGATCTTGTTTTCCTTAGATTCCGCGTGGGCTGGTGCTGGCTTCAGCATTAGGGAAAAAATGAAAGTGGAAAAAGTGAGCTGAATGCAAATCTTGCTTGTACCACACACCTTCGGTGTGACCTTGGGCAAGTTCTCAACCTTCCTGGCCTAAGTTCCCTCATCTATAAAATGAAGGGGAGTTAGCCTAGATTACCTTTGAGGTCCCCCTTCCAGGTTTAAACCCATGATCCTGTATCTGATCTGTGATTGAAAAAGACTCAACAAGTAGATCTAAAAGAAAGTGATTGCCTAGGGGATGTTAGTTCTCCTATTGCCATAAAGCCATATTCAGTGGAAGATAAAAGGTAAAATGAAACAAAAAGAAACAAGCAAACAAACAAACTTTGTTCTTTAACAGACTATCCCCTGGCTTGAGAAAAAAAGAATGCATCTGAGTTAGTTATATTGGATATGAAAACTCCTTACTTAAGCAAAGTATTTTTTCAAGTATTTGTAGAATATACAAGGTGGCATGGGAAGATCCAAGACTCATACCCTTACTGTCTATCTTCAACTAGTCGCAAACTCCTCAGAGCAGTTATTCCAGAATTTTTCTTTCCTTAATCTCCAAATCTTTCCTTACACTCTCAAAGAAGATGAAAATAATTGCAATTCTTAAACTTTTCCTACATGTACTCACAGAAGTAGAAGTTCAAGGCAGTTATCTGGGTAATTCAAGACAAGACACCTAGAAAAATAGCTTGCAGTTGAGATATAGATATTGGATGTAGCACAGTGTTCTGGAAAGAGCACTGGACTGAAAGGTTGGAGGCTTGGATTCTAGGCCTCACTCTGCCACTTTTAGTGTGGCCTTGGGCAAATCACTTGACTTTTCTAGTCTTCAGTTTCTCTGTTTGTAAAATGCAGGGGTTGAACTAGTTCAGGGCTTCTTAAACTTTTTCCACTTGTGACCCCTCAGTGCTTCTTAAACATGGGCCTGGATTTGATGCACTGGACTAATACTGGACGAGATGATCTCTAAATGAGTTTATATTTCAGCTCTACAATTATAGAATTTGCAGTGGTATCAAAGATTTATTTCTTCTCTTTGTTTCCTCATCACACATGAATTCATTTTATACTGCTCTTAATACTAATCTTCTTTGTAAATTCACTCAAATAATTTCACAAGCATGTACTTGGCTTCTCTACCTGCCTCTTTAAAGCAAGGGGCTGTATCTTCTATTTCTTTTTTTTTTCTTTTTGGTGAGGCAATTGGGGTTAAATTTCTTACCTAGGGTCACACAGCTAATAAGTGTCAAGTGCCTGAGCCTGGATTTGAACTCTTCTACTTCTTTTATATCCCAGAATTACAGAATTTCAGATGGAAAGGTCATCACTGAAAGCACAAAAAAGGGGTGCACCCCAAAGCACCACCAGCAAGCGACCATCCAGCCTTTTCTTTAGAGCTACCATGAAGGAGAACACTCCCTTCTGATGTAGCCTATTCTGCTTTTCAGGAGTTCTAATTTTTGGGAAGACAGCTAGGTGGTGAAGTGGAGAGAGTGCTGGATCTGGAGTCAGGGAGATTTCTCCTTGAGTTCAAATCCAGCATCAGACACTTACTAGCTGTATGACCTGGGCAAGACACCTAACTCTGTTTGCCTCAGTTTCTCATCTGTAAAATGAGCTAGAGAAGGATATTGCAAATCACTCCAGTATTTTTGCCAAGAAAACCCCTAATGTGGTCACAGAGAATTGGAAAGGACTGAAAATAACTGAACAACAGCAAACCAGTTTTCCTTACATCCAACCTAAATTTATTTCTTTGCAGTTTACACCAGTCACTTTTTGTTCTGCCCTCAGGGGTCAAAGAGAACAAGTAGTATACCTCTTCCATAAGACATCTCTTAAAAGTACTTGAAGACCCCTAGCTCATCTTCCTTAAGCCTCTTTTCCAGGTGAAAGTTGCTTCAATTAATCTTCACATATGAAATGAATTCAAGCCCCTTCATCATCCTAATTCCTTCCTTTCAATAGTCTCTTACTTGTTAGCCTTCTTCATAAAATGTGGTAATTAAGACTAAATACTATGCTATAGATGTGATTTGACCAGTGTAGTGCGCAATGCAGATTGTATTGTTAATTGGTCAGTACTTTGTGATTTTTTTTTGTGACCCCATTTGGGGTTTTCTTGCAAAGATACTGGAGTAGTTTGCCATTTCCTTCTCCAGCTCAATTTACAGACGAGGAAACTGAGGCAAACAGGGTTAAGTGACTTGCCCAGTGTCACCTAGCTAGTAAATGTTTGAGGCCAGATGTGAACTCATGAAGATGAGTCTTCATGACTCTAAGGCAGGCACTCTATCCACAATCTTACCTAGCTGCCCTGCAGTGTGGATATCAACTCTTTATTTCTGAGATCTATACTTCTTTTTATATAAGTAAAATCAAACTTGCATTAGCTTTTTGGACTACAATATCCATATAGCTGTTTCATTGAACCTTTATATATATATAAAAGCCTCTCGAATGTTTTTAGACCCTCATCTATAGCCATACCTTCCCTGTCTTGGACTTATGAAATTGGTTTTTTAAACCCAAATTCAAGACTTTTACATCGTACCCTATTAAATTCCATTATATGCAATTAAGTATATGTTGAATCTTATAAAGATCTTTTTTGGGTCCTAACTCATCATCTGTTGTGTGAGCTATCCTCAGCTTTGTGTCATCTAAGAAATTTGATAAGGATGCAACTATGCCTTTATTGATACAAATGTTTAACAAAATAGGGCCACAAGGCAAGCTACCCTATTCTCATCGAATTGCATGTAATCCATTAAGCTGCAAACAATAAATTATGCCAATAAAACAGTGACATAATTTGTAATCTCATAGTCCATAGGTGATATTTTCATCTCTCTCTTGGTCTTGATGCTCTTTTTTGTAGAGCATGAGGATTAGGAGTGCTTGTGGTATGGCACCCACCATTAGAATCACAAGGTATTCTGGAAACCAATTTATACTTACTCTTGAAAGGTTTCCATATGAATTCTTATGAAGAGGGAGAAAGAGTACCAGTGTAGACTTGCACACAGAGGTGCTTAATGTAAAATGGATGAACAAATTAATGGCATAAATGTATCTTATAAAAACCAATAGGTGGACTTTCACACATGAGGAAGAGAAATATAGTGGCATAATCCAGCCCAATGTAATCCTAGGAACTGACCTGTGTGCTAGCTTGTCACACATGAGCTAGAAGAGAAAGATCCTTTGTGTGTCATTTATAGGACACCTTGATAATGAATAGTACTTCAAAAAATCAGATTCAACATAGCTTGAGTTTTTCTCTGGCTGTATTATTCTTCGTTAGGATAGTTTGTGTCTTCTCAGTACATTTTGGTAGGGAAAGCTGTTATCTTTTTCTGGGCCAATAGCAAACTGCTGGCAATTAAATCAGTTGTCTTTTTTTTTTTCCCCCGTTATGGATTTATCTGTCATTTGAGTGATTTGGGAAACCTTACAATGGAAAGATGACAACATCATCCCTGAATCAGAGTTATTGGTTGCAAAATTGGTTAAGATTTAGTTATTGTTGTTGAAGTTGAAGTTTATGTATGCTATTTCTAAATTTGAAAAGTATCCCCCTCCCCCCCCAGCTTTTAATTTCATTATTATTTTGTTGCAGAGGATGAACTGGCAACTCCACCACTAGATGGTATCATTCTTCCAGGAGTGACAAGGCAAAGTATATTGGATCTGGCACACAAATGGGTGGGTTATTTTGTCATTAACAATTTTTGTAACTGTAGAGATTTTCCACTTGCAACTTGTCATGAGATAAACAGAAATGGATATAAGCCCAGGGTAGTGTTGAAATAATACCCTGTGGTTCCAACTAATCTTATCTCTTCTTTCAATCTTAACGTGAGTAAGAAGAGCTTGTTTAAAAGAACTGTCTTGGCAGGTTCATCAAATAAGTATAATTCATTCCAAAGGATTGAGAGAAACCTGTTAGACAAGCTCTCAGAATGAAAAAGGAAAACCCCATTCAGTAAGGTGTTACAAAAATGTGTGCCACCATTTTACTTAATGAGGAATGGTTTTTCTGTAATAAACATGCATAAAAACTTTTATCTTTAGCTGTATTCGTACTCCCTGTTTCTGAAGGGTAATAGATTTCAGCTATTCACTCAGCAGTGATAAAAATAAAAGTATACTCACTGATAAACAAATTGTTAATATATCCTACTACAAGTAGATTCCCATTACTCCAACCTTATTTTTAAATTAGAATGCTCTAGAAAATAAATCCAAAAAAATCAAAAATTGTTTATAGTAGCTCTAATGTTCATTTGTACAACACTGGGGAACAGATTAAAACATTTTGTATTGGGAACAGTGTCGTGAGGAACTCATGATGAAAATGTTGAATGGAATGGTTGTCTGACAAGGATATTTGGATGGAGCTTTTGACTAACGTGGTAAAATCATCTCCAAGGGACCATGGGTAGGCTTTGTCCATACTCTGGTCAAGCAGTGTTAATAAGAAACATGTTTATAAACACAGATTTTTTTTTCTAGAAGAGTGCTAACAGTTTCTCTGGCAGAGATTTTTGAAATAGAGGAAATGTGCTATAAATAATTCTACAAACCCCTGAAGTAGACAAGACCCAACTGCCACATGCTGCCTGGCACGTTGGCCATGACATTTGCAAACTGTTGGTATAATTTCAAACAGCTTGCCCTGTCCTAAATATGTTTAGAGTTGGAAAAATGTGTTTTTGACACGCAATAATTTGTGTTGTATTAAAAAAAAATCAACCAAGTACAGAAGGTTTGATGACAAGTTGCAAGTGGAAAATCTCTATGGTCCTAATGATTTGCTAGTAGAAAAAGTAGGTTATTATGGGGGAAGCTTTTTTTTTTTGACTTCTTAGTTATAATGTGTTTTAAAAGTTATTTTAAAACAGGGAGACATGAAATGCCAAGAGTGCTGTGAGAGGGGAGGGCGGGTTACAAGCCCTCATCAGCCAGAGGAAATGGTCCAAAGATAAATAAGGGTGGGCAGGGGGAAGACAGTTCAGCATGTGTGTATTTTCCACAACACAGAACTCAGCTTGTTTTTAATTGGCTTGGCTGATTTTCTGGACAGGTTTGGTTGGTGTTTTTTTTTTTTCTTTCCTTTTATAAAGACCTTTGTAAACTCATGGTTGGAAAAAAACATAATTACAATTGCAGGGTGAGATAAACTGAAACTTACAAATAAACATAATTTCAATGGCTGGTATACTTTCTTTCCCTTATTTCTTGTTAAGCTCTGTTAGCCTACCTGTGATATAGTGTATTTCCCTTCCTGAGCCTAAGAGCTGTAGTTTCTTATTTTCCCTTTCATGATGTTTTTGGGTTTTTAATTTTTTTTAATTGTGATATTTTGTAAAAAGGGTAATCACTTATTTGGTACCCAGGAACTCAGAACATATGGTGGAAAAAAAAACCAAACCTTTTTTTTAAACCAATTACTTAACAGGAGGAGTTAGAATTGACAAAACTGAAGAATTAAAAGGGAAACTATATTAAATGTTAAACTGTTTCTCTTGTTGAACTTTTCAGCAAGAGTCTGCACATCTGGGCAATAGTCGGTGAGATCTGTCACTGCTTACAATGGGGAAGAATATAGAAACTGAATTTTAAAAATGTTATTGGAAACATCCAAATCAATGTGTTCAGATGGGCAGGAATATGGGAAGTAGAATTCTCTGTTAAGAGGAAAGGGAAGGGAATGAATGTTTATATAGCGCCTGCTATGTACTAGGCCCTATGCTTTTTAAAAAAAAATATTAATTTGATACAAGCACCCTGGGAGATTCATATTATTATCATCATTTTACAGTTGAGGAAACTGAGGCAAACATAGGGTAAATGACTTGCCCAGGGTCACACAGCTAGTAAATGTCTTTAAGGCCACATTTGAACTCAGATCTTTCTGACTCCAGACCCAATGCTCTATCCACTTCACCCAAAATCAAATTGTCATCACATTCTATCTTCCTATTTGCTGTGAGTGATGTACAGTGAGTATCATCTTCCTTTATTACCTCATTAGAGTTCTTGATGGCTTAAACCATGGATTTTTTTTGAAACAGAAGAAATGTACTATAAACGATTCTGTAATTTTCTCTATCTCTTGTACATAATTCTTATTTTGGAAAAATTTAAGGTCATGAAGGTCAGAGAAATTGTCTAGTCCTCTGTCTTGCAATCATAGCCATCATCTTCCTTTATGATAAAATTCCTTCAGGAAATCATGATTTGGGAGATAGAATGCATTTTGTTGCATTTTATGTCCTCAGTAAGTAATTTAAAGGAGCTTATGCTTGAAGTAAAAAAAAAATTCAGGTATTAAAGATAGCAAGATAGAAACTATGTAATACTTAGTATAGTCTTATATTATCTAATAAGGTGTTTTTTTTGAGAAAAAGAGGGTCACACCAATGTAGGTGACTCTTGATAATAGTGTTTAGAAACTACACTACTTTAAATTAGTTCCTTCCTATCTTTAAACTACAATTTCTTCATTAAAAACAAACCAAAACCTTTCCCAGCTTACTTATAAGTGAGATTATGTAGAATAACAATTGTTTTTCCACATCTGAGTTTAGAAAATGTTTATGGGTTAGAAATCTTATGTCTGCCAAAAAATTGTTATTCTCCATCTCCTGAACAGGATGAATTTAAGGTGACTGAGAGGTACCTCACTATGAATGACTTAATCATTGCTCTGAAAGAAAACAGAGTAAAAGAAATGTTTGGCTGTGGTACAGCCTGTGTTGTTTGCCCAGTTTCTGATGTACTATACAAGGATGAGGTAAGAGAAGTATTTCTTCATTTTTATTAGTTCTCAAGGTTCACTTATGGTTTTACTCTTTTTGCCTGGGTTATGGTACAATTTAGACATAGCTTAAAAGGGATCTTTTAAACTTTTTAAGCAATTAACCTTTGGTTTGGGTTTTGGTTTGTTTATTTCAAATGGAGCTGTATTAGCAGTTTACTTTCTATGTGATTTATTTTGTGAACACATAGTTGTGAATAATTTCTGATCTCAAATAAATATACCACTATCGGTTAAGTCTTACGGAATTCAAGTGTTTTTGATATTGTAGTAGACCCTCAGTTTTATGTATTTTTCACCAATGCAATAAGGAAGACTTTTTAGGTAATTGACATTGTTTCCAACCTTCAGAACTAAGGAAGATTTCCATTATCCAAGTTGCTTTGCTAAATTAAGAACTGCAAGCAGTCAGTATGAGCTTTATGTGCATGGTTTGGTTTTTCTTGTGTTAAATGACAATTTTAAAGAGAAGTGTATTATTTTGAAATGTATTTGTGTTTCTATGTATGTGGCCAAACTCCTACAAGGCTGAAGCCACAAGGTCAGAAGCTAAGCCACTGCTAAATTTAGTAATCCCTAGTACTTTATTAAATAAATGTGTTTTTATCAAACGTAAAATTCCCGATGCATTTACGAGTCCTGTTAAAGAAACGTGAAGATTTAATTGGCAGACATGTCCTCCTCCTAATAAATTCCTCTTACCTTCACATTATTTCTGCCTACTTTCCTCATCATTCTTATTCCTTCTTTATGACATCCCAGCTGTTATGATTAACATCAGTTAAATTTATAATTAGATGGTATACAGGCATTACTCCTTGAGATATTGATTTGTTGAATTTACTGATTATCTAAATTCCTTTGATTTTACATTGAATATAATTTTTCCTGTTTGCTGAAGTGGTGTTTACTTATTTCTCATTTTTGGTGGTCTTAGTACTTTAGGTCTTTAGTATATCATAAAAAGATTTAATCATATAGTGAATATTGTGTATTTTTTGTTTGATATTCTGTACTTACATATACTTATATTTTAAAACATTACTGACAGTATTAATGGAGCTCATTATTATCTGTTGATATAAGGACAAATACCAACCAGATGTACCATTTCCTAAAGAGATTTGAAATATGTAAATCAGCGACCATTGGGAGACTGAAAGCCTGGAAATTGTGTCAGTGAACAAAAACTTCATTTTTTGTTAAGCAGCTTATGACAGCCTATGACAACAATTATTAGATTATAAATTTATTTGTGAAATCTTATGGTGGAATATTATGAACAATAACAGTACAAGAACAAACAAGTTTAAAGAGAGCTTGGAAAGTGATTCAATTAAGTGGTCATACTAAGATCATTACAGAATAAAACTAGATGGACAAGAAGAAAGAGATGAAAAATAGAAAATATTTGTAAAATTTATGTCAAACTTTTTTCTCCATCAACTGCAATGGAGCCACCATATTTGAACTCATAATGTAAGCATAAAATTTTTTGTTGTACTATGTGAGGAAATAGAAATTACATTAATGAAACCAAGGGTGGAAACAACAGCTTGATTTTAACAAGTCCTGCCTATACACAGTAGAGGTCTGTGCTGGAGGCAACGCCATTTTGGGGGCAACAAAATATCAACTCTAAAACTTTCTGAAAGAGGAAGAGATTAGGTTTGGGGAAAATTTTTTGTATTGTTACCGAAAAAGGTAATTGTCATCAACATATACATACCTTCATATATGTATATACTTACTTTCCTATCTTAGAAAAATTTGTGCGAGTACCCTACACATAGACATCAAGAGCATCCTTGATGAAAATGTGAAGAATAAACATGTAAACTTCTGCAAAATATTTTACACTAGATAACTTCTTTTTGATATAGTTGATGGAAAGGTGTACAGAATGCCAGATATTACTATGTCTATTTACTCTAATTTTTTGTTGTTCTTCAATCATTTTCAATTGTATCTGACTCTTCATGACCCAATTTAGGGTTTTTTTGGCGAAGAAACTTGCCTTTTTCAGCTCATTTTACAGATGAGGAAACTGAGGCATACAGGGTTAAGTGACTTGTCCAGGGTTACACACCTAGTAAGTGTCTGAGCCAGATTTGAACTCATGAAGATGAGTCTTCCTAATTCTGGGGCCAGTGCTTTATCCACTGTGCCACCTAGCTGCCCTGTTATTTACTCTTAAGAAAGCATTCAGTTTGGTAGCACAAAATGTTAAAGATTTGCCTCCCATACATATGCCAAAATTATACAAGATTCCCAGCAAGATATTACAATAGACATGGCTTTGGTTGATCACTCCAAACATTACTCAAGCTCTAAAATAGAGAAATGTATACTTATTAAAAGCATCTGCCAATGTGGTGGAGGATGTTCAACATAAAGACTAAATGGAACGAGGAATCCTACTGCAATGGTGATGTCCTCTAGATACTTCTTTGTAGATGACATTTTGTTAATTGCAAGAAGGCATAGAATATCCTTGTGCCTCCTAAATGAGACCTTTAAAATCCCTTAAGGGAGTTAGGTCCAGCTATCCACACTGAAAACAACAAGTGAATGAAGAATACCTACTGTGTCTTCTTGCTTTCATTCTATTTCATTCTATTAGCCCTCAGAGTAGGTCATAGACATTTGGGATTCCATTGGGTCTGAGAAGCTGAGGAGTAGATAAGATATCCCTTATATTCTTCTGGATAGGCTCCTTTCTTTTATATGATTCCCCTCTGTATTAGATGATTATACCTGAATCTTAAGGCAACTCCCTGGGAGATGTTCCCTACTGATTTTCTAACTATTCTATGTCCTAACTCAACTCTCTACTTGTCATACCCAGAAATTCTACTGGGAATATATCACAAAGTGGTCAGGGAGGACAAAAATATTTGTTATAGCACTTTTTGTCATGTCAAAAAGTGATGTAAATTGGATGACTATAAAATGAGTAATTGCTAAGCTAATCAGGGCATATGAAAGGAATGCAATATTGTGTACCTTCTTCCTCTTCTTTCTTAGAATATTCATGTTCCAACTATGGAGAATGGTCCTAAGCTTGCTACCCGTTTATTAAATCAACTTACTGATATCCAGGTAAGTGCTTATTTATTTAATGTCTACTAAATTCAATCAGTGGTTAGAACCAAATGAAATTAATTTCAGGTTTCTAAGTAATTATAAGTTAGCAAATATTTATTAAGCTCTTACTATGTACCAGACACTGTATTAAAAACTGAAGCTACAAAGACAGAAATGAAGCATTTCCTCTTTTCAAGGAGCTCTCTAGTATATGATGGGAGGAGAAAACATGCGCACTGATAAGTAAATAGAAAATAAATACTAAATGAATAACAACTAGTTTTGGGAGGAAACATTAATGACAGGGGAAACAAGTTACTGTGAACAAATTAGTCTCTCAGTGCCCCCTGTACATAGTTGTTTGCACATTCTCTCTCCTATTACAATGTGAGCTACTCGAGGGAAAGGACCATATTACTGCCTTTGTATTCTCAGCCCTTAGCATGATGTCTGGCAGATCATAAGCACATAAAAAATGCTTGTTGATAAGCTGATTGACTGTTTCTCTCAGGTGATACATTGCTCAATAGATGCTGATCTCTATTGGTAGAGTGATTTTCCTTAATGGAAGTTCCATATGCTAATGAATCCATAGTCCAGAATAAAAATATCAATAATAAATGAACAAAAATGTGGCTAAGAATTCCCAAGATGGTGTGATATGTCTGTGCCTTTCTTTGTATCCTCAGAATTTAGCACTGTGCGTAGTACTCAGCAGATGCTTATTAGATGCTTATTTGACTGGCTGTCTGAATGCATCAATAAAAGAGGGAGGGAATAAACACATATAGTATCTACTATGTTTGAGGTAATGTACTAAGCATTTTTTGCAAGTAAGAAAAGGGCAAAGACAGAAAATGGATAAAAGAAATTAAAAAATCTAATAGAGTTAAAACTTCTATCAGTGAAAGTTTAGAAACAAAAGGTAATGGAAGAAAGAAGGTAGAATGACACCATTTTTTTTCTCACCTGCATATATTCATTCAATGTGTAATTTAGTACCTTTGGATAAGAGGAAATCAAGAATTTCTCTTTTTAGCTAAGTTTAGTTAGAACTTTCATGCAATTTATAATAAAAGCTAATTATTTGTAGAGAAATCCATATTAAAGAGAAAATAAAATCATTGTATTTTAGTACAGATAGTATAATGTACAGAGGCACCATGAGACACATACTGTATAGGGGGCAGGACTTGGAACCAGAAAGAACTACGTGCTACCTGTATAACCAGGGACAAGTCACTTAACATCTCAGAATCCAAGGCAACTTTCTTAAGACTCTTCTGGTGGAGTTACCTATCTGCACAAGAAGTTCCCCACACTGATGGAATAATAAATAATAATAGTTCATGCATTAAAAATAAAAAGTGTTTACTCCAAATTTTTCAATAGCAATGGATTATTCATTTGGAATACAAGGCTGTGACCTTGGTCTTTTTTTCCTTTGTGCCTGTGGGCACAGTACCCAGAGGAGTCTTGAAATTGTTCTCTCACACAGTGGCAAATTGGTGCTGTCAGCCAAGCCACTAGGTTGTCTATTTCTCTCCAAGAAAAATAATTTGAATATCCATTCAGAGAAAAGCCTAGAATTGCTCTGTGTGGTGCATTTGATCTGTCTAACATTACATGGAAACATGGATGTTCCCCACAAAGTACTGTGTAAAAGCTTCAGAGAGCCCTGCCAGTATGCCCCGGGGGAAACATTCCTGCCCCACCACAAATTTGGCTTTCTCTTTAACCTTCTGTATATGAGTAAGAATCCCTGTGGTTAAGCATTTAATCCCATTTAGGTAATTATGTTTTCCTCTGTCTTAGTTAGATAGATTCTACAAATACCTCCTAGGAAGAGAGCACTGTAAACTCTGATTGCATTTGTTGAAGAAAGAGAATTACCTATGTGTACACCTAACCCAAATTACATTGAAGGATTGTATTTAGGGAACATTCATTATTTTGCTAGTGTTCCTTTTCTTTTGTCCTGGGGAAATAAAAAAAGACACTGGAACTATCCCCACACATGGGTCACCCTGCAAATTTCAGTTTCTTTAAAGGTATTGGGAGGTACTTTGTGCCATTACATTCTTTGAAGGAAAAAAAATCCTTAGTGTTGCCAGAGTTAAGTGTTTTTCAAGAAAATTTCCACAAATTCTGAATTAGACTTTTTCAAAATGATTTTGAGACAGCTTGAAAGTACACATTATACTAAGTACGATGTTTTACTTTAAGAAAATAAGCACATTTCCCCAAAAGATTTCTATGTGTTACCTCCATTAATTCTAGGTTTCTTTGAGAGAGACTTGCAAAAAAATATTTAAACTTAAAATTTAAGTCTGGAAATATTTATAAAATAATGAGTTCATAGTTAAAATATTGAGATGTACCAACTTTAGTGTGTTCAAGTCTCATCAGTGGAAAGAATTTTTTTTTCCTTCAAGATAACTAGATATTTGGAGACGAAAACTGAAAATCTAATATCCACAAGAGAACATTTTTGAAATTGCAATGAATAATAATAATAATAACCAGTATTTATGCAGTGCTTTAAGGTTTGCAACATACTTTACATATTATGTCTCATTTGCTCATTTGAATACCATAGGACCAGGAATGACATGACTAATATTGGATTACCTTTAGATGGGTTGATATTATTGCAGTCAGAAAATTTAAATTTCATGAATATACCTTTTTCTATTGAGTTCATTAAACACTTATTAAGCACTTTCTATGTAAGGCATCCGGGATGCAAAGATGAAAAATACGGTGATACCTTCCCCTAGGAGCATACAGGCTAATAAAACAAATGAGATGATAGAAGTAAAGTGCTTACCATATGGTCTGCCACATAGTAGGTGCTATATAAATGCTTATTCCCTTCTGCCTAAAAGTAGAATCCAGGTACACAAGTAACTACTGTGCCGGTCACAAAGTGATAAGCCCCAAAAAGGGATCTATTCACAGTGCCCTAAAGACACAGGAAACCACAGAAGACCTTGTGGAAGAGAGAGCATATGAGCTGGTAGTTGAAGGAAAAGAAGGCAGAGATGTGGAAGGATCATACTGTGAACATAAGGACTAGCTTACAGGCATGAAAAGAGGAAGAAGTGTACTGGATGGGGCCAAGAAAATGACTGTTAATCCAGTATTCCTGGAACAGAGGGAAAATTAAGGGGAGTACTATGAAATAAAGCAAGAAGGGTAGGTAGGAGGAGAAAGTATGGAAGATCTTAAAAATAAGAGTATATTTTATCTCATAATTATTTAATTGATTAGTCATAATTAACTTAGTTATTGTTAACTATAATTATTTCATTCATTCAATATGTCCTGTATAATTTACAATTGTGAGTATTTCAAATCTTAAAAATATTAAGCAAAAACATTGAATATTTGTGTTTCTCTATGTCTTCCAAGTAAGACATACTGTGTAACCTTTTCATTTTCTCTTGCCTTTAAGTTCATGAGAGAACTTCATTTTCCTTGCAAAGATTTCATCAGTCAGGTCATCTTGCTTAGAACATAATCAGTTGTCTTCTTTAACTGGGCTTTAACCAGGAATGCATACATACATACATACATATGTGTATTGATAGATAGTAAGAACCTAGTGAAAATCATTCTTGTTGTTTTAGCATGAGTGGCATGATCACGCCCATACAGTAGAATAAGAATTTTCACGGCTGTGTGGTCTTAATCTGATGCTTTTATGAAGATTATGCCTGAGGAGTACAAGCTGTGGCGTGACATAAAGGCTTCCAGTATAGTTCTAGTAACACGTTATACCTGCATTTCAAGGACAAGCCTCACTAAATATAGAGATGCTTTCTACTAGTGGATTGGCTTCTTGGGGATGAATTTTTTTGATATGTCAACCTATGAAACAAAGGAAATGTAAAATTATTCTCATTCATTGGATGGTGATGGTGGCAGAATGGTTGAACAAGGGACTGAAGGTACAAATAATTATAGTTTTTAGACAATCTATAAATATGAACACATGTGAATAACCCTACATGACAGATCCTTGACAATGACCAACAAATAGTTATACCTTTAGAGGGACTCAATCAGATCAATTTAGACATTCTCATTATAAATGAAATGAGAAGACAGGAAATTTCAGCTCAGCCAAAGAATGCCCCCTAAGTTTTCCTGGAGAGGCACATCAAGTAATTAGCAGTTGGTTTTACTGTGTAATCAAGGGCAATAAGAAACATAATTTCATGAGTTATTTGGTCATTTTGTTTTGTAGTGATCATGGTAAGACTTTTCAAAAAGACCTCCGTGAAAGTAATTGTGGATTTTGGGGCAACAACAGTTGAGAGGATTAGGAGGCACAGAATTCTACAAAGAACTTCATACTTCTCTCCAAAATAAATAAACATAACTGACACTTGATAACTTTAAGGAATAAAACAGGATAACTGAATTTCACAGCTGAAAGGAACTTTAGAGTCCATTTTAGTCTAACCCATATCTTAAAAAAAATGTCACTCTCTTGTTTGTCACATGACCTGTGGCAACCAACCATTATCACTCTGTCTCTAGTCTAACCTATCTCTGGCCCAAAGAAGTTTTAACTTCTCTTAATTTGGCCCTTACCTACTGCCAAGTTGTAGAGGTCTGACATAACCTGTCATGACCTGATCACAACCTCTTTTTCCAGCCTTATTATACATGACTCTCCTTCATGCACCCTTCAGTCCAGCCAGATGGGGTGTCTTGCTATTACTCACATACAACATTCCGCTTCCCATCTCCATCTCATACAAAGCTATGAGCTGTTCTTATACCTAGGATGCACTCCCTCCATATTTCTGCCTTTTAGAACCCTTATTGCCTTAGTTGCCCCCCCTCAGGTGGCAATGCTCCTGTTCCTCCAGGTTCAAGTGTCTCCCCAACTGCAATAACCTTGTTTTGATGTTGTGTGTTTTGTATTTAGGTTATGTGTATGCATGATAATCTGCTGGAAGGCGGGAGCTGTTCCCCTTTTACCTTTGCTTGCTTCATGCCTAGCACGTAGGCATGAAATAAATGCTTGCTCATTGGTAGATTTGAAGAGTTAATGCATTGCTAGTTTTGCTGAACTGCTTTTCTCTTTCTTTCTTACAAAAGGAGGAGAGAGGAAAGAATATACATGAAAATGATTAAAAATAAAATATCTGTTAACAAAAAAATTAGTTAATTGCATTACCCATTAGCCAAATAAAAATTTTTGTAATTGGATTCTCTGTTCTAAATATTAGGGATTATTTTAAATTTTGAAAGGAAGCGACAATATTCTATAAGACCAGAGAGAATAGGCTGACAAGGAAAAAGTTCATAATGTTATAGTTCATCAAATGATGTATCTTCAAATAGTTGAAGAGCTTTTATGTACAAGAGGGATTAAATATATTCTGGTTGACTCCAAAAGGTATGTACGGGAAAAATGGATGGAAATTATAAATGTGCTGTTTATAATACAAAGAATAACTTCCTAATAGTCCGAGCTAGATGAAAGTAGAATGCACCAACCCAGGAGGTATTGGGCTCATCATTAACAGAGGTTTTAAAAACAGCAAAGTCATTGAGGAAAAAGAGGGCCTCACAACAACTTTGAGAGGTAAGGGCTGTCATTTGGACAAGTTAAGTAACTTGTAGAAAATCAAGCTAGTAGGCATCTGAGGAAGGATTGGAACTCCTTTCTTCCTAACTCCAAGTCCAACACCCTATCCACTATGCCATCCAACTGTCTCTTGTAGGTAGCCAATTAATAAGAAAGATAAGAAGAGTATAATATAATTGGATGGCATGTGCTTCAGAAGAGGAGAGATTGTTCAATTATAACGGTGTCATACATTTTAAACTTTTTAAAATTTATGAAGTATTTTCCTCACTTTAGTGATGTTTAATAGGCAATATAAGTATTATCATTCCCATTTTACAAATGAAGAGACTGAAGATGAGATTTGCCCAAGGTCAAGGTAGTCGAGACGACCTCAAGTCTTCTGATTCCAAGATTCTTTTTACTAGCTTCACAGTGACAATGACAGAAAAATGTTCTAAAAATGGCAGTAAAGCTCAAGAATGTAGGCATGGCTACTCCTCTTCCACTGAGAAAGGGGAAGTGTGCCAAGAATTAGCTACCATGCTGGACCGAGGGTGCATTACCTTTGGTAGAAGCCAGATTTTAGGTAATCAAGGGTCTTAGAAGGAAAGTTTTGAGGATGTAGCAAAGTTGGATTATAATAGAATAGGATGGGTCTTCTTTCAAAGGTGAAGGAGAGCCTAGGGAAAGGTAGGTCTGAGCTTTCTAGGATGTGCTTCAGTTAAGTAAAACATATAAACCTGTTTTCATATGGCTTTGATTGACACTGTGATTTTTGGAATGAAGGAAAGAATTGTTGATGTAAAATATGGCATACAATTTTAGTTTGACAGGTTAGCCAGCATTGACAGATTTTTAAAGATTTTGCTTGCTAGCATTACTGTTTTTCTATTAGGCATTTATCTATCTATCTAATCATTTTGCATGTAGTACTTTAAGGTTCATAAAACACTTTTTTACATTATCTTATTTGATCTCTAAAAAAGGAAACAGCAGTCAGTTAATTTAGATCATATTCTTTTTACCTACCAAAAGCCAAATGTAGACATGGGTGCATTTTAGAAAGCCAAGCAGTCATTTAATATTTATTCAGCACCTACTTTGTCCTAGATTCTAGGAATACAAGACATGAACAAATAACAAAAATGAAATTGTCCTTGTCCTCAAGGAGCTTACATTCTTTTAGAGAAAATGACATCTAAAAATATACTTTATAAGATCTAACGGCTTACAGCTGAACTAAGAGTTTTGAGACACCTGCACAAGGCAGTTTCCAGGAAAGAGGCACTAGCAACTAGGGTGGGAAGGAAGAAGGAGGAAGTTAGGGGAGACCTCATGTGAGTTACAGCACTTGAGCAGAGCTTTTAAAGAAAAGTCTAAGAAACAAATATATTAGCTTCTAGTAATGTCTTTCTCCTATTCTCTATCACGGCTAGAGTGGATTGAGCACCAGCCTTGGGAATCAATTGGATCTGGGTTCAAGGCTGGCCCTTGTGACCTTGAGGAAGTCATTTAACTTTAATGCCTTAGGCAACTTTATAAGACTACAAGTTTCAGATGAATCGACAATATGTATTAGTTTATTTCTATGTCAGAAGCTCCTGAAAGCAGGGATATTATTACAGGTCAAAACCTAATCTGGAAAGGCTTTGAAGAATTATCCTAGCTGAGCTCAGAAAGATTCATATCCAGATTGGCTTGTGGGGTGATACAGTTTTTTGGTCTTGGCAAGTTTTGAAAACTGTCTTCTAATTCATAAAAGGGTAGTGATTTACATCAATGGGGAAAATACTCACACTGACAAAAAATCACAGCTCCTTAAAATGAAGTACATACAATAGAGTTTATATAAAAGTATGAAGCTTGATTATTGAGTATGAATATTTTTAAAGTTTTCATTTTTTCCAGATAGCAACAATCCAACATTAAACAAAAAAACTCCCTATATGTTTTTTTTCTTGATTTGATTTTTGATTTTTTTCTCTAAGTAATTGATCTACTTACTTGACCTTGGCTTTTTTGTAATGATTTAGTTTTAAGCTTTTCCTGCACTGTGATCTTTCATTCTTGAAATATGTTTTCTTCTTTTTGTTGCAGTATGGAAGAGAAGAGAGTGATTGGACAATCTTGGTGTCTTGAATGAAAAGCAGACGATATCATCTGTACGTTATTGGGGCAAGCCATTGTGTTTGAATTGTGATAAATTTGTTTGGCTACCAGTTTATAGCTGTGTGTAATGTATTTTGTATTATCACTGTGTTCCTGGGGATGATTGCTTCCACATGCCAGAGAATAGAAATAACAATCACATTATTTTCTTCAGTAAGCTTGCTAGTAGAAGCTTACTTTCTTGTAGCAAGTAGCTAAGATGAAGCCATAAAAAGTAGAATTTTCCTCACAATTTTTAGTGCCTCCTTTAGTTGCCTTGTCCTTACTCATGATTTAGAATGGAATATGCTCTTCTTCCTTTACCTTCTTGGCATTTCCCCCCTGTTCTTTTATTTACCAAATAAGACTTGACTGACTAAAACCTGGTTCAGATGAATTTTACTGTTTCCTTCCTCATCATCTTTAGGTTACTCTTCTCTGTGTCACCATTTTTCTGTTTTTCTTTGAGACATTGGAAAAGCTGGATTTGTTCTCTGCACTTGGGTTTTGAAGTGAATTTCCCTCTGGCACAAGCATTTTGCTTAACTCTTCTGTTCTATACAATAGAAATGTTGCCACAGAGGATAATGACATTATCCCCCTGCTCAATTCTGGATCTAAAGTATCATTAATAGCCTTCTATTAGTTCCTTATGCTTGTTTACCTTTATTGCATATTCACAGGGGGTTTCCCCAGGGAGGCTTCAGTTTGCAGAGTTCCTCGTCATTGCACCTGGAGGCTCAGGGGATTTTCATCAATATCCCTGCTAATAATCTGCACTGTAATTCATTTTATTACTCACTCTCCCTCTTCCTTTTTAGTATACCTAACTCCCATATGTCAACATTTAGCTATAAAACACTTATCTTGTAGCTAAAAGACATTGCAAATTGATTTTTTTGAACTATTAAATTTCTCTGTACAGTATTAGGTCCCTAAGGGACTTCCTTTGAAGTTCTTCAGACTTCCTGAGGAATGTACTCTCCCGTCTTTTTAAAGATTTCTTCAAATTTTGTAGTGATCTGAACTCTTCTCTAATCACTAAAATAATTACATAATTGTACTGAAGAACTGAATTATCAATGACAACTGTGAAAAAGAATTTTGGGTCTATATTCTCTTTAAAATAGGTTGTAAGCACAAAACAGCAGTTTCATAGAAGTATGACTGTATGTTCTTACTGTCTTTACATAATTGAAACTGGTCAATTAGCATTTGTGTTTGATTCTTATGATTAGTATATATTTTTTAACATTGTTTTTAGTTCCCATGGTCTGCTGAATCACCGGCCTGGAGAGATACCCAAAGACATACAATAAGATAGATAAATTATCCTGATACTGACTTGTGCCTTGAAGTGAGATACAAAGTTATAAGAAATAGAAGTGCATTTTCTAGTGAGTGAAATAATAGTGAATTGTGTAATATTTGCTCATTTTTATGTTTCTGGGTGTGAGAAGATGGAAAGATCTCAGATTTAATAGCTACTTTTTTCCTACAAAGCAAGGACTATAGAGTATGTGTGTGTGTGTGTGTGTGTGTGTGTGTGTGTGTGTGTGTGTGTGTGTGTGTGTGAGTTCTGGAATGAAGAAGATAACAAAAATGTTCTTTATAGGGCTTTTATGATGAACTGTTATCTTGGAAGATGCTATCTAATTCAGGATTTGATCCTGAGAAGTATGACTGTCTTTCCCATCATTAATATGTCACTTATTATTTAAAAGATTTATTTTTTTCTTAATAAATCTTTTGAACTCACTTCAGAAATTATAGCCTTGAAAAAGACTGGCATTGGATTTGTGAGCTTTTCCAAAAATATTTTGCTAACTATGTCAATATAATTGGTTTCCTCTGGAGTCCTATGCATTTTATTTTATGCGTTAAAAAAATTATTCTGAAAAAAGGTCCACAGGCTTTATCAGATTGCCAAAGGAGACCATTACACAAAAAACTTCTGGTCTGAGGAAAAGGAGGGATTGCTTTTACTAGTCCTTCAATACACTGTCTTTTTATTTAGTTTTTCAATTTTCTATGTGTGGTTTCCACGACCACTATTTGAGGCCATCTCAGGCATTTTCTGCTACACTTATAATTTTTCAGGATATAACTGATATTTATACAGTGCTTTAAGGTCTACAAAGCACTTTCCTCACAAAAATGTTAAGATAGTACAAGTATTATAATTTTCATTTTACAGATAACAGAGGTTAAGTGATTCTGCTCATGGTTACCCACTAGTAAGTATCAGGCGGGAACTGAACTCAGGTCACCTGATTGCAAGATCAGTGCCCTATCCATAAAATCTGGGTGCCTCTCAGCTTATGGAGGGAATATCAAGGAAGTTCTTGTGAGGGTATGTAATTGTTCCTATCAATTTAATCAGAGCTAACTACGCTACTAACTTGTTAAATGAATTTGGAAAGAACATCCGCACAATTTTTTTTCTCTGTGCTCTATTTGTTTAATTGCAGTGGATTAATATAGCAAGAGTAGCACATTATAACTAGGCAATTATCCATTTTTCAACAGTTAGTTGTAGTAACACTAATTGATCATTTAAGACACAAGATAATCTAACATTAGGAACATGTGAAGTTAATCTGCTCAAAAAGATCAACAAATTAATACTGTTGCTGATATTTGCATAATTGACTACAATTATTTAATGTTTAATTGGGTTGATCAAATGAGATTCAAGAACTCACATGAGTATGCATATAAACAGAACTGATGGTACTTAAAATGATAATGATTCATTGTTTTGCATTTTCTTTTTTCTTTTACTTTATTATTATTTTCAGACCAAATCTACCCCTAACTTTCTATACATCAATAGCAATGAAGACTTTAAAAATGAAATATTATCAGACAGCTACTAAAATGGAAATGTATCTTAAATAGTATTTAAACTCCCATCTGGCACCAGAAATTTTCTTTGTCAAATTCTTTTTTAAAAAGTAAAGTTGTGCCACATCAAAGGATGAAAAATCAGATCAGCACATTCCTGAGATGTGGTACAGTATCGATCTGTCTGAATGAATAAATGGAAATTATCAGCTTCAGCTTACAAACTAGCTAGAAAACAAATGATGGAGTGACTCACTGTATAATGACTTAAGAATTCTGGCAAGGAATCTTTTATTTAAACTTTAGGGAATAGTACAATGTAGGGAGTAGTCCCAGGATTGGTAGTTGAAAGACCTATATTCTGATTTCCACTCTGCTACTAACCATCTCTGTTACCTTCAGCAAATCAATCTACCTTCCTGGGCATCAATGTCCTCAGAAAAATTCAAGCTAGATATACCATGATCACCCTTCAAGCTTTAACATCCAGAAATTCTGTCTTTTTAGAAAGTGTTCTGTTTTGAGGACAATTATCTAATTACCCTGATAACAAAGATGATTGTATTTGCATCTTCCCCTGCCCCCCACCCCCAAGAGCATAGCATAGTGGTCTGAACATAGTAGGTACTTTAAAATGTTTCTTGAGGTGAATTATAGAAGAGGAAATACAACTATTCTTTCATATCAGGAGAGAAAAAAAGCAACATATAATATCAACCTTGTGATGAATTGCAGTTTTAGCACTTTTAAGAAAGCAAGAAATGAGTATCAGAACCCAGTGTTAGAAAACTGCCAATTTGGTGGCTGGCTTTAATTTCAACACCTAAAAATAATTGTCCATTGGCCAATGGAGGTAGGACAGTCTTTCGTGGGCACCTGAAGTTATGTCACTTTTGGGCACAGAGTTTGTTAGAAGAACAGGGAGTTAGAAGCCGCCAGTAGCCATTTTTAAAGTTAAATTTAAAGTTATTTATGTCCTCTCACTGAGCACGTTTTTCCTTAAGCAGTTTTTCTTTATCCCTGAAAACAGTCGTAATTGTACCTTGCAGGTATGGAAAAGTGTATAAGGAGAACACAAACCACTTTTGTTCTTTAACAGAAGTCTTTTGAGCTCTGTTTTCTGAAGTGCTTTGTGTTTCATGCAATAGTTCAGGCTTCCTTTGATTCAAAGTCTATTGTCTGAAAATGAAGCAGGCCACTTTGGCAGCTGTTATGAAACCATAACCTATTAAAGGACCAGTGGTTCTTTATAGTGTATACATGTCTATGAAATATAGTCAGTGAATTCTTTCATAAAATGATGATTTTTTAAAAAATATCTGAGCACTAAATGAATCATGAATGGTTATACTAGCCATTAATCTTGGTGGACACTTTATCCAAATAGGTCAGTCAGGTTAAGATTTGCCACAAACAGATTTTTTTTTCAATCTGTTTCCCTTTAAAAAGTCCCTTCAATTAGCAGCATGACTTAGAACTGACAATAATATGTAAGTTTTAACTTGTCTTCTTGATTGCAATCATACAATACATTTGATTAACAGTTATTAAGTGATTTAAAAGGTACATGAGAGGGGCAGCTATGTGGCACAATGGATAGAGCACTGGCCCTGGAATCAGGAGGACCTGAGTTCAAATCTGGTCTCAGACACATAACACTCGCTAGCTGTGTGACCCTGGGCAAGTCACTTAACCCCACTGCCTAGCAAAAACAAACAAACAAAAGGTGCATGAAATTCCGCAATGCTAGATGTGGAACTGATTTCAGAATATAGTAATTGACCTCAAAGAGCTTGCAATCTAGTCATACAGTCTAGTAGTACAGCATTTGATACATGCAAACAAAAAGGAGAGTAAATTAGCAGTTGAGAAAAAAAGCACACAATATTTTAATCTATCATTTTCAATGAAAATTGTTTGTTTTATATTTCTTTACTCCTCGTAGGAAATTCTCTACTACTCAGCCACTGAGCATGGAATAAGCTATGTCATTTCTTCACCAACTAATGCTAAGCTGATATTACTCTTCTGGGCCATATTAAACTGTTGCAACAATTTAATAAGAAACCTCAGATAATAGTATCCCCACTGGGCTTCTTAATCCTTAAGAGCGCTAAGGCTGAAATTCAAATGCAAAATATTATCTGAAAACGAGATTCACTGGAGACTATACATTATGGAACAAGCTACTTTAACATGTTAGGTCATGTATTGAGCTACTTAGAAAATGACAGGTAGGAGATTAATTTTAAGCCAAGCCTGAGAAATGTGTTTCTGTCCTGAAGACCAGTTCTTCAAAGTGCTGTGTCCTTTGTGTTGTTACCCAAAGAAAATCTTTTTGAAAATCCTGGCTGACTAACAAGGAAAATTTAGCTTCTTTTTCATTCTTCAGTATACCTTAAAGCTGAAGTACTCACTTCAATAAAATATATATCAGAACCGTCATTCAGTTAAAAACAAAAAATGAAACATACCAAGGCTCAAGAAGT